GAACGCAGTGACCGAGGCGATGACCCACAGGGGACTCCGTGTCAGGTGCGTCTAAGCTTTGTAAAGTTGAGTGAGGAGCTCATCTGCCACCGATGCGCTGACCCACAGGGGATGACGCGTTGGGAGATGGCTAAAACTTTGTAAAGCTTAGGAGGGAACGCAGCGACCGAGGCGATAATCCACAGGGGACTCCACTTCAGGTGCGTCTAAACTTTGTAAAGTTGAGTGAGGAGCTCATCTGCCACCGATGCGTTGACCCACAGGGGACGACACATTGGGAGATGGCTAAAACTTTGTAAAGTTTAGGAGGAAACGCAGCGACCGAGGTGATGACCCACAGGGGACTCCACGTCAAGTACGTCTAAACTTTGTAAAGTTGAGTGAGGAGCTCATCTGCGCTGACCCACAGGGGACGACGCGTTGGGAGATGGCTAAAACTTTGTAAAGCTTAGAAGGGAATGCAGTGACCGAGGCGATGATCCACAGGGGACTCCACGTCAGGTGCGTCTAAACTTTGTAAAGTTGAGTGAGGAGCTCATCTGCCACCAATGCGCTGACCCACAGGGGACAACGCTTTGGGAGATAGCAAAAACTTTGTAAAGCTTAGAAGGAACGCAGCGACCGAGACAATGATCCACAGGGGACTCCGCGTCAGGTGCATCTAAACTTTGTAAAGTTGAGTGAGGAGCTCAACCCCAGGTGGGCATCTGATGTTAAATGATTTGACAGCTGTTGCGTATTTTCAAGGTGACAGTTGGGTGCCATGCCCATTCCCCTAAAAGGTTGCTGCGGCTACTTATTGTCGAAGGTTGGTGGTGACCGAGGTGACGCATTTTATGCAAGTGTGAGGGTCACAGCAAGATCTTAAGCATAGATTAAATCTGGCGTTTCATTTCAACGGCCTAGATTGATGATGCGACGGACGGCCTAGATTGATTACATTTGAATTCAACGGTGGAGATAAGCTAAAACGTTCTATAAAAGGCGAACTTTGAGCGTCTTTGAAGCTTTTCACCTTTGTGCAAACAGAAAACTCATTTTACTCTTATACCTTTCGCGATTTTCGACGTTTTTCGATCGTTTCCGACAAGAAATATCAATTTTCGACGACCTTACATCACTTTCTGTCCATTTCCAGCTGGGAAACCCTCTGAATTCGTAAGTTTCAGTATCTTTTAGGATATTTATTTTCTGGAAAATGGCGTCTGAGGGAAGTTCTGGTTCGGGGAGGGGGTTAGAATTAGTGAGGATGGACGAGCCCACTGTGGCAACCTCCTCTGAGATAACCGAAGCGATTATTGGGGGGAGAACATATAGAGGAGGCCGGATAGCCCGGCTGATACTTCTGTGCACTGGGGGGCGTCGGATTACCCCTCCAAACTAAAGGAGGCCTACCTAGAGAGACTTAGGGTAGAATATAGGATCTCAGATAGCGTAGATCTGATCCTCCCCGAGCCTGAAGAGAGGGCTCTAGGCCGGGGTGCATGGCCATAAGTGAGGAGATTCTTAGAGCCGACCTTAGGCTTCCGATCCACCCTTTCTTTAGGATGGTACTTAGGTCCTATGGGTTAGCTTCGACCCAACTCAATCCAAACTCCTGGAGCCAAATGGTGGGCTCCTGGATGTTGTGAAAAGAGATGACACTTGGGGTTGAGATGTCTTTTTCCGTCTTTCAGACCCTTTATATCCCTAAAGTGAGAGCTGGGGGGTGGGGATAAGACCCGGGGTTGGCATTACCTTAATTCATGGGGTTCCCATACTCCATTCGTGCTCGATATGCCGAGCTCCATCAAAGAGTGGAAGGGCTCGTGATGCTGGGCCGCAGGACTATGAGACATGATAGAGGGGGACCCCCTGGCGCCTCTTACAATCCCCACAAAGTACTCGACACTTAGTGAGTATCACAGTTGTGTTTCTTTATATTTCTCTTCGGTTCGGAACGTAACTAACATTTTCATTTCTTTTGAAGGTACTCTTCCTCGGTGCGAACTGTCTTCTAAAGACTTTGACACAATTTGCATCATTTATCAACTGCCTCAGAAGAAGAGGTCATACCACTGGCTCATCAGAAAAAATCTACAGTTCATTGCACACGACCTGATGGCATCTCAAGATAATTATCCCGAAGCTTTTATCCTTCCAGATTTCTGAAGTCTTTACACTTATACTGATTCATTGTTTGTTCTTTGCAGATAACTTCAAGAAGAAGATGCCTGTGCGCCCTGACTTTAAGACCATCTAGAGGATGATGGCAGAAGCGCGGGCGCTGAAGACCTCCTCCTCTACCTACAAGAAGCAAATAGAGGACCTGGTGGACGCCAGTAAAAGGCTCTAGCCTCCAATGGAGGAGGAGGTGGTAGAGGACCCCGTGGCGGATCTACAGTGGAAGGGCAAGAAGAGTGCCGCCCCTTCCAAACGCCCAACTGTGGCAAGGCCACCCCCTATTCTGAAACAGACCACAATTCCAACCGGGATGGCCATTCTGGAGAAGAGGCCTGCATCCGAAGAGGTTGCAACTGCCCCGACCACTTCGTCACTTGCTGCGATTCCTATTGCCCAAGTGCCGAGGCAGTAGAGGAGGAAAAGGGCCCGTCCTCTAAGGAGGTCGACTTCTTGGGCATCAATCCGGAGGAGCCGATTAAGGAAGTGTTGGAGGCCCTTCCTCCGAAAACGGCTGCAGTAGCGGTGGTCCATAACAAATACTGGACTGAAGAGTGGAAGGACCACACCGCTTCCTACTCGGCTCGCCCATCGAACCGGCCCACTCGGCTTGTGCTCGGGCTCATTTTTTACGAGCCTAAGCCGCCCACGATCTCCGTTTTTGTGAGCCGATGAGCCGTTCGGCCCAATCAATCCGGAGGAGCCGATTAAGGAAGTGTTGGAGGCCCTTCCTCCGAAAACGGCTGCAGTAGCGGTGGTCCATAACAAATACTGGACTGAAGAGTGGAAGGACCACACCGCTTCCTACTCGGCTCGCCCATCGAACCGGCCCGCTCGGCTTGTGCTCGGGCTCATTTTTTACGAGCCTAAGCCGCCCACGATCTCCGTTTTTGTGAGCCGATGAGCCGTTCGGCCCATTTGCCACCCCTAATAATGCAACTGCCATTTTCTTCTTTAAAATATCCTAAAGAATATTATTCGAATGATGAAGATGAATTTGTAAATGTGCATTCCTAACCTTCTGTTGTTTCTCCTCTGCCGTCCAAGTTGTGGACATTATATCAAATCCCAATAACACATCATCTAAATCTATTTGAGCAAATACTGGTCACATATTCACTTACTGTAACGAGAATCTAGTGTTGTAATTCAAAAGCAAAATGTCATATTTTATGGTTGTCATCAAGAACAAGAAACCTCAAGCAAATCAAACCAGAGCTCTGATACGACTTGTTTGGGACGAAACGAGATTATACGGTATGATATGAAGTATTCATCATAATAACAAAATGAACACAAAGATAAGAATTTAATTTGACAAAAGAATTGGAGATTTTATGAAACTATAACAGAGAAAAAAAAACTATAACAATTGTGTTTCTCACGATTGTTATAACTTTTGTAATTAAACGGCTAGTAAAGAATAACCAACTATATATATAAGACATATCAAAATCCTAACAATATTCTTAAAGATAAAAATAGTATTAAAAACATGGAGAATAAAGGAAATAATATTTTTCTAATAAAAAATGCTTGGAATAAAAGAAACAATATTTCTCAAAAAAAAATTCAAAAAATCCAATCGAATTTGGATAACGAACCCAGCAAAGGGAACAATCTACGATTCTACACCTACATTTAGCTTTTACATTAAGGTTGAGATCGTGATTTCAAATCAGTGATAAGGTTTTATGGATCGAATCATTAGATATCATTAATTTATAGTCCCACTAATTATTAACAAAATTGTGATTAAAAAATAAAGTAAAAAATTTTGTTTTCATGTAATATTATTTTATTGAAAAATGTATGATTCAAAAGAAGAGGAAAAAAATATATTTTAGAAATAATGGGAATAAAACAAGGGTTATGAAATTGTTAATTTTGAAATTATATTTGTGTAATTCATATGAGTATCATTTGTCCTTTTCAAACTTCAATTACGCGAGATGCCAAAAGTGAAAATATTCTTGTGAAGTAAATGATTCAGTTTAATGCTCTTTATGTAATTTTGCGTTCTAGAACCATGTCAGGGGCCACCTTCTCATGTCTTGGCAGGCCGGCCCAGTTCATATCAATAACCAAAAAAAAAGGAAAAAATTCATATTTAAGGTGTATTCTTTGAAAAAAGCTCTAGGTACAGGATATTTTTACAGGAAACTCACAGATTTTTTAATTCGGCTTACGTGGCAGAGAGAGAGAGAGAGAAAGAAAAAAAAAAAAAAAGAAAAAAGAACATAAAAGTCTCCATTGTTTTACCGGGAAGTCTCATTTGTTTCCCTCCCAAAATAGAAGACAGCAACCCTTCCCTCCCAAAATAAAAGACAGTCGGAGTCCATCTGAAATTCAATGGCGCCAACGACCATATCCCAGCTAAGAGGGCACCGTACAAACTTGCATTTCGAGCGATTGGTACCCATTTTGTTTTCCTCGACAGTCAATCGGGTGGAGTCGACTTGGCTATGGAGATGAAGATTGTACCATAACCCGTCTTCATTTCCAGCTTTCTCCTGTGGTAATTATTTCTAGCATCTTCTGACCTATTGCGTATTTTGTGCATTTCCTTAGCTTTTCCAGTATGGATTTCATGGGAAAATAATGAAGGATTAACAAAGTGATTTCTCGTAACAAAACAATGAACCAAGCGACTGATTAAAGGCCGTTGAACCATTTGAGCGTTTCACTGCATCAACTTTTTGAAAACAAAATCACGTATTTTTTTAAAATTTCAATAAGTGCTTTTTCTGTAATCTTTTTCTAATGTTATATTTTTTGGATTTAAAAAAATAATAAATTTCTATGTAAAATTGCTTGAAAATGAATTAAAATGTTTCACTATGCCAATCACTATAGTGAGACAGCGATTGATCCCTACTTCTCTGTACGAGTTCATCGTGGCTGCAAGCAATGGTAATAGTGCTAGTTATGGTATACCTCTGAAATTTCCAAACCTTATACAATCACTCACCTGAAAAACATTAAGTTGCTCAAGGAATAGCTGAAAATATGTAGATGCATTGATTGCTTCTTATAATTTGTGTGGCAGGAAACAAAATTATGGAAGATGGGAATCCTAATTTGTTGCTACAATCTGATAACGAGAATGCTATGGAGAATTTGAATATGGTGGACAATGAAAATGTAGAAGAAGATGTGGCGTTAGTGCCTAAGGTGGGTATGACGTTTAGTGATGAGAAGGAAATGTTTGATTTCTACAAAAAATATGCTTACACCGTTGGCTTTTCGGTGCGAAAAAGGAATTCAAAAAAGGGGAAAGATAGAGTTACGAGATATGTGACGTTCACATGTAGTCGTGAAGGTCGAAGAACTTATGCTATAGGCGGTTCCTTGAAACCGCAACCAACATGTCAAACTGATTGTAAAGCAAGAATATCTGCATCTTTAGATAGTCTGGGAATATGGAGGATTAACAAAGTGTACCTTGACCACAATCACAAAACAAGCCCATCAAAGTCTAGGTTGTACCGATGCAACAGAAAATTGAGTGCAAGTGTGAAACGAAAGCTTGAGGTGAATGATATGGCAGGAATTCCCTTGCATAAGAGTTATAATTCTGCAGTTGTTGAGGCTGGTAGATATGAGAACACGACTTTTGTGGAGAAGGATTGTCGGAATTACATTGAACAGGTGAGACGACTACGTCTTGGGGAAGGAGATGCCCTCGCAATACAGGCGTACTTTTCAAAGATGCAGGCACGGTGCTCGGGGTTTTATTTTAGTATGGACTTAGATGATGACTGCAGACTAAAGAATGTTTTTTAGGCAGATAATAGATGTAGGCAATCTTACAGGGAGTTCGGTGATGTTGTCACTTTTGATACTACCTACCTCACTAATAAGTACAACATGCCGTTTGCCCCTTTCGTTGGCGTAAATCACCATGGCCAATCCACACTGCTTGGCTGTGGATTGTTGTCGAACGAGGACACAGGGACGTTTGTGTGGTTGTTTAGAACTTGGCTTGAGTGTATGCACGGTCAAGCTCCTAATGCCATCATTACTGATCAGAATCGGGCAATGCAAAATGACATCCAGATTACTCTTCCAAACACGAAGCATAGATGGTGCCTGTGGCACATTATGAAAAAGTTGCCTGAAAAGTTTGGATACCACGTTGAAAAGAGCTCAATATTTTTTGCTATACATGGACTAGTATATGATGCGGAGAATGTACAAGAATTCGAAAGAGGTTGGAGGTCGATGCTCGATATGTATGACTTGCATGACAATGCTTGGCTATCAGGATTATATGAGAACAAAGGTCGGTGGGTGCCTTATTTTTTGAAAACCACATTTAGTGCAGGCATGTCCACGAGACAACGAAATGAAAGCATGAATGCATTTTTCGATGGATATGTGCATTCGAAAACCTCGTTGAAGCAGTTTGTGGAGCAGTACGAAAGAGCATTAAGAAATAAGGTGGAGAAGGAGTTCCAGGCAGATTTTAGGTCTTATTCCCAGATGGTTCCGTGTGCGACAACATACGAAATGGAAAAGCAATTTCAAGCGGTTTATACCATCGAAAAGTTCAAAGAAATTTAGCAGGAATTCACCGGGAAAGTGTACTGCGACGTTGTATCTGAAAATGCCAATGACTATTATTGGTCGACTTACCAGGTTCGTGAGGATGTTGTTCTTCACGAGCACCGCAAGAAAAAATCTTTTTGCGTATCATTTCGAAGGGATACGTGTGAATTGATTTGTAGCTGCCACCTATTTGAATTTCGGGAAATTATTTGTAAGCATGCTATTGCAATCTTGATTCGTAATGACATAACATCGATGCCTGAGAGGTACATATTAAGGAGGTGGAGACGAGATGTTAGTAGAGCACACTCGAGGATCGCAGTACATTACGATGGATTGGTCAGTAGTCCTGGACAGTTGAGGTACGACGAGATGCGCCGAATTTTTTCAGAGGTGACAGACCTAGCAGCAGATGACGAAGTATGGACACGCACTATAACGGAGTGGATGACATCGCAAATAAAAGAGTTACGGAAGTCTAAGTCAAGTGTTGGAAGCGTTGTCTACTCCCAGCCTAACAGTAGCAGTGGAGACATATTGGATCCAGTAATTTCTAATAGAAAGGACGCACCGAAGAAACTTTGGAGGAAATGACCATTAGAGTGTAGTTCAAAGAGGACGAAGGTATGTTTTACTATTACTATCTTTGTTTATAATGAATTCGTAACAACCACCGCACCGTCGAACAAAGGGAAGAGGCCTAGAGCTACTCAAAGTAATGTGGAAGAGAGATCAATCGATGCCCAAGTGTCTCCACCACCCCAATGTCCTATGCTGACACCATTACAATACTTCGTCCATCCGGCAACCACAAATGTCGTGGTCAACGCAGAAGGTTTGTGTTAGGTATTTATGTACATTTTTTGACGTCACATTGTGTTTTAATGTTTACCATGTAAATCAGGTCATGTTATGCCATTCTTCTATCCAGATTTTCCCCAACAAGGTGCGACGCCCTTCTGATTTTCGGGGGAAAGGTGCGTCACATTGTCTTTTAATGTTTACCATGTAAATTAGGTATTTATGTATATTTTTTGGATCTACATACGTTGCAATCGATTTTTTGATATTGACTATTTTTGTATTAATTTTAGTTAATTTGAACTCATTCTGTGTTTTTTAAGTTGTTGTTGATCGTTGGAGATATTTTATACATAAGTTGAGAATTTGGGTGAATGCTACCATTTAGTAATTCATTTGAATGGCTTCATTTTTTCATTTTTTTTCTTGGTTGGCAAGTTCTTCAACCGGCCTAAAATTACACATTTTATTTGTGGTGTATTGATTAAGTTTAAATTGGAAAATATGCATTATGGTGAAATGCACCTAACCTTCAATCATGATTCTTTTACTTTGCAAGCAATATGGGATGTTTTAAGGTGTTGAAGAGTAAGAAGAAGAAATCTGAGCAGTCCATGCATAATAGACGTGACAAACTTCGGCAACATTCGCCAACTATGTTGTCTGAACTAGGGTCGAACCTGTTCCGTCAAGAAATGGGGTAAGCAGCCAGCAGCTTCATGAAACTCGTCGAGGACATTGAAGAATATAAATTTTACTGTAATGAAGAAACTTCTACTGTAGTATAACTTCTGCTGTAATGAATAAACAAACAGCCAGAAGTTTTTCTATGATTTTGGGATTTTATGTTTGACATTTCATGAATTTTTTGTGTCTACCATTTCATTTTGTGTCTCACATTTCATTTTGTGTACAAAAACTCTCCTTAGAATGGGGATCCTATTACATTATATGCCAAAGAATGGGAAAGAATATAAGTGTTTTGCTTTCTCAAAGAATTTGTTAACTTTTATTTGTAACATCGGCCTTACTAGGTACATTCCTCGCGTCTGCATTCATGCACGAGATCATTGTTACTATTTATGCCGCGTTATGCCTAGATGGGGTACAACATCGTTCTTCCTCGTTCAAGGGCTATGAATCATAGCCGAGAACACATTCATGAGACTAGTCTTGCCAGAACTGCTTGAATACAAAGTGGATGAAAGAGCAATTGCATAGTATGTAGCTGTGTTTGATTTTGTGAAGGATGCAAGCTTCAATTGGGTGAAGTTTGGTACAAATTTCTGGCACAAAACTTGGAAGGAAACAACATATGTTTATCAACACATTCAATGTCTTACAAATCACCATGAAATACAGATTAGACATATATACGACCAATACATTATTATGCAAACTGAAATTCACATCATACTAGTGCCTCGACCGAAGACATGACTCAAATCGACCCCTCAATCCGACCTCTTTCCTTTCCCATTACAGTTGGCAATTCCATTTTCCTTGCTAAAAGTCAAGTACAGTGATATGTCAACGCCTCGTTTCTCGCTAATTTTGGCTAGCCCATCAAAGAGTCTTGGCAGCTCTTCATCTTCCTTGTCGAGCGACTGATTAATAGCATGCTAAATGGAACTTGATTCACCGCCTACATTTTCATCTTTCACTCAATCAAAGTACCCACGGTCATTACTACAGGTAAAGAACAATCGCCCTTTGTTACTGGTTTCTCGTTCGACCTCAAAACATTTTCGATATCCGTGGTCACAACTAGGGCATCGAAGTTTTAACTGGCATTGTTTGAAGTAGTGCCTATTGCTTCTACAACCGTGACAAACTCCAAAATTTCTTCCTCTCATTCTAGCCAAGGTCTGAAAATGAAACAGACTCGTCAAAAATCGAAGATGTAGTTAAATGATTGAAAATATCTCGTAATAAAAGTTCATCTTCCATCCATCGTACATACGTGAAATTTAGATTTATCCCTACAGACATAATTAAATAAAAGTTCAGGGTTTCCAATCATACATACATGAAACAATCAGGCTGTGTTTTCAAGTGTCACTGGCATACTAATTTTCATTTTCCCATTATACAAACCCATGCAGGACATTCATCTTCATCAAACAACAACAACAATTCTCATAATACATGTATTCAGAACAACCGGTGTAGGAAATTCATTCTTGATTTCCCCATTAAACCAACGGGTGCCGAAATTCAACAATTAGTGAAGACATTTATGCAAACTGAGTTACGAACAAAGCTTAAATGGTGGCAGCCATCTTCATAAACCAAGAAGTCTCGTCATAAATGTAACTCAAACAAAGATTAATCAACATCCAAAATCCAAACTTGTATAATGGGAAAACTTTGGCCATTCAAACATGATATTTATAAATAACCATGGAAAAAGCTGAGAACCCATGTCAAACAACAACTCCACAAACACTTACGTTGATGCTAGGGGATGAATGTGTGGCTGCAGTGACTCCGGTGCCGGGGACGGAGGTGAGGGCGGTGGCTGATTCTAGCGCACACTCGAGCGTAGGGCACGCTGGCTGCGAATCGTTGCTATGGACAGTGTAAAAGTGATGGACACTATGGGGGCTCGTCGTCGGCGCCAGAGACGGCGACTGCGGCTGTCAACTTGGCTGTGGGAGAAGTCGCGACTCCAGGAAATTCGGGGAAAATGGGGGAACTCGTTTGGGTTTAGTTAGTCAATCGGGTTGCCCTTTCGTTTTTTTACCCAGTTTTTTGGTCATTTTATATTGTCATTTTATGCCAACTCAGCCATTTTAAATTTCTGTATATTTTCTGTCAAAACACCCATTTTGAATTCCTGCACCCATAGCCCGGTTGGTATTCTTTACATCATTTCAAAATTCAGGTAAAATGTTTGAGAATTCAAAATTCAGGTTTAGATTTAATTAATTAAAAATATTTATTAAATAAATATAATAAAGTCACGGTTAAACAATTAATGGTCACAGATTTTTTTAAAGGTCACATATTATTTCGAAGTCACAAATATAAAATCTTGTAGGTCACAGATTATTTCGAAATCACAAATTAAAAATTTTATGAGTCACAAATTATTTTTTAATCACACATCATCAAATTTTAAAGTCACAGACCATCAAATTTTAAGGTCACGGACCACCAACAACAGGAAAAAAAAAAACAATGACAATCAACCCAAACTACCAACTTGGATCACCACAGCCGTCACCGCCGCACACCACACCAACACCCTAGCAAACACCACCACTCACATTGCACCAACAGAATTGGCTTCTACACACATTGCACCTACAAAACCGCACACATACCACAGATCGGCCACTTTCACCACCTGCATCAACAACCATCATCACCACCCACAACGCACCAATACATTCAAAACCACCACCGCCGTCGTCCTACCTAGATCCATTGCACCGGCACCGCATGAACTTACCAAAGCCACCCATATCCACACTGGACAGAGAAACCGTTTGCAGACTACCCCCAATCGTCGAAATCACAGATCAAAAAATGACAATAGTTGCGTCAGATCCACCACGGCACCACCGTAAACACCACACCACACTACACAAAACACCATCCAAGCCTCGTAGTAGTGGTTCCTGTGCTGCGTCGAAGCGATGAAGCGCCTCAAAACGACGAGCGATTGTCACCGCTGCAGGACGACATGAAAGGCTCTCTCTGGCTGTGGACGGCGGCACCGTGGGTTAACGGGAGAAAGTGAGGAGCGAAGATGCTGAGCATCGCTGCAGGACGACGTGACAGGCTCTCTCCGGCTGTGGGCAGGCGCACCATGGGTTAACGGGAGAAAGTGAAGAGAGAAGATGCTGATTACTGTGTGAAATGAATTTTAGGGCCGAATTAGGGATAAAATGTTTTGTAATATCAATAATTAAATTCATACATGAAATCTGCATAAAAAACCATCTCACCTCATATTTGAACTGAGATCTTTAAAATTCGAGATTTTTGTAATTTCCACACAAAAAAAAAAAGAAAGAAAAAAAGCCGAATAGAACTGACCGGATCGCATCCGAAACTCCAAATTCTTCGGCCCCTTTCTGCTCGTCCTCAATTCTTTTTCATTTCTCGCACTCCTGATTATCTCCAGTTACAGCATCTCTATCGCTCGTGCCTTTTCAACTCTCACTCAATCAGGTAAATCTTTTTTACAGTCAAATCTTGATTTTTATTTTTTGTTTCTATCAATGTCAATGTCTTATATCTAGGGTTTGTTTTTGTCGATGGACTTTAAATGATATTTATCTGTATTTCCTGTGCTGTTTCTGTCCTTTAAGATCGGATCTGTGTTTTCATTTTTATTCCTCCTGATTATGTAATTATGTATTTTTTGTGCGTATGCGTATTATTTGCATTTCGAGGGTTGTTAAATCTCATATCCAGGATTTGGATAATTGCGACCAAATCTTAGCTTTCTTGGAGGATGGTTGGGACGTATACAACGGCTGTGTGTATCTGAGAATGTTTATATTTTTATATATTGCGTGTGTGTGCACTGAACTTCATGAGTAAATGTTGATTCAAGGCTGTTATGGACCCCGGATCTCAATCAGGATTGAACAATACCCCACAATAATTATAGTGGAAGGCCAAATCTGAGCTTTCGTGAAGGATGGTTTGGTTGTATATATATGATAATCGTGGTGTGTAGATGAGAATGTATATTTAAATACATTCACCCAACTTTGTAGTGAAATTTCGCTTTAAGGCTGTGTTGACACCCCAGATTTCAATTGTGATAGAACAATACCTGCAAGAATGTATGATGTAATAATTTATGGTTGAAGACAAAATCTGAGCTTTCTTGGAGGATGGTGATAGGAACCTAGATCTGTTTGCTGACCTTGCTTATGTTACCTGAGTCACTGTTACTAATATGGCTGCCTCCTGTTGGAAGTCAGAGTCTGTAACACGGTGATTGAAAGAGTTGGTGAACGAATATTAGGAATGAATGGATAGATAGTAGCAAATATTTGTAAGGCAAAGGTCAATGGAAAATTGAATGTTGTATTGACATTCAACTGAATGGAAATAACAAGTTTCAGGCAATTCGAGAGGCTTGATCTCTCCACTCTTTTCTAAACAATTTCTCTGGATGCCCACTCACTCCCCCTTGCTCTCATATTTATTAACAAACTTCCTCACTCATACAAATTCCCGACAGTACCCCTACTAACTAATTGCTAACTAACTGAATAATAAGGCGTCTATCAGATGGTTTGGTTGTATATATATGACAATGTTTGTGAATAGATGAGAATGTGCATAGATGAGAATGTGTTTGTTTTTTATTTATTTATTTATTTATTTATTTTTAATAGATTGTGTGTGTATATTTATAGACCAGACTTCGTAACGAAATGTTGATTTAAGGCTGTGTTTAGGCTCCGGATTTCAATTATGATAGAACAACACCAGCAAGAATATATGATGTAATAATATATTGAAAATATGAGTGAAATGAGCTAGGACAATTAAGCTAAAACTTTAAGAAGCTTTTACATTGTTCTCTTTTAATCTTTTATGGTGTTTAATCGTGTTCAAGACATTCTAAATTTTATTCTCTACTGGGTAGAAGAGAGATTCATTTTCGAAGTTCTTTTCCACTTTTCTTTCTCTTTTGTTGTTTATGTGTGAACTTTCATGAACTGTCCGGAAGAATAGATTTCGTTCGTATTTGTTTAAACATTTTAATTTTTTATTAGGCCATAGGGAATCTTTATTTTTTCCATTTCAATTTACTCTAAATGAGAATATTTTAGTGTTCACTGAGAAAGCTAACATGATAGTTGTGTTATTACTTAAAGCAAATACTCCAGCTAGAAGAACCCAGCTTGATATTAAAGATTAACTTTGCTTGCTAGATATTTGTGCTGCTGCAATACAACTGTTTGAGATGAGATTATGTTCTATCATTGAATTACAGGTTGTTGATATTGGATATTAGTTGGGTTTGTACACTGCGTTACGGAGGATTACAATAGGCGTTCCTTCATTGCTACCCCATTTTCTATCTACTGCACGGGTCATCTAATTAAAAAAAGATAAAGAAAAGGAAAAAAGAAAAAAGAAAAAAGAAAAGATCACCCTGTTTGTCAGTTTTTTATTTTCTTGGAGTTCAATTTGTCTAGATATTATTACAAGTTATGACATGTTTAGCGCGTTATGTGTGTTATCAAGAAGTTATGGTTATAGATTTTTTTTGCAAATTTATTGATGGAGAATTTTTGCAAAATCATTAAATAATGCAGGATGTCTGAAGCACCCTTTAGGCCAAGAGAAGTTCTCTTCGATAAGCAAAAGTTATTTCAGAGCATTCACAAACATACGTATCTGAAAGGACCTTTTGATAAGATCACGTCAGTTGCGATCCCTTTGGCTTTGGCTGGTAGTTCGCTATTTCTAATTGTGAGTTCCTTTTTACTCTTTCTAATCATTTTGGCCACTTTCATCTACAGTCAAGTTTGACACTCGATCGTTTCTGGTGATTGTTCTCCAGGGGAGAGGGATCTATAACATGTCTCACGGGATTGGAAAGAAGGAATAAGAAGATGGATTCCGTTGAATGTGTGTCCTCTTAGGAACTTCATTTTTTAAGCACGTGTTTTCAATAATGGTTTTTGCTCGACTTATCTTCCTTTTCTTTGCTAATAATTGATAAATTGCAAACATGTTGACGAATGAATGTACTTTCCGTCATCAATGACACGAGGCCATGCCATTCTCTGTTGTTTTGTTTTCTTGGGAGTACAGCTGAACTCCGTTATGATTAAGAACGAATTTGTGGGTGGAATGAATCTTATCAAGCTTCTGTTGGTAGTTTGTAAAAATATTGCAGAGAAGTAGCGTTCACTCTTGGTCAACTACTAGATTGCATCAACGAGATTTTTTCTTTATTTTGTGACGATTTATGGGATTATTATTTTTCTTGCGCAGAAATGAAAAAAAAAAAAAAAAGGTTCAACTATCAATTAATTGGAGTTGAAATGCAGAATGATACTATTAATTTTGAAGCTTTTCTAAGATGAATCTCTCTCTTTATATCGATGTTCGATTACATGTGATGCCAAAACCTTAACTGGGTGAGCGCATCGTGGTTAAGAACCGATATGCGTTTACCATATGGATCAAAAGACGACTCTTTACCATTGAACATAATTTATAAAATTGAGCCAAACGTACGAGGACTTTTGAAGTGTCCTCGTGAAATTATTCAATTTTATTGATTGGGGGTAAGATTAGAAATCGTCGTAGGGTTGTCCAAATAATTTGGTATCATTTTTATTTTGTTTCTTGATATTATAGCTAGTAGGAATGACGACTAACCTGTGGAGCTATAGTATTCCCATCGTCAGGAAGTTTTAGGAGACGGGATATGTTGAAATATAAACAATTAAGCTATATATATATTGTTAGTTGACATTGTCCCCTATATGGAAGAAATTAATGAGATGATAAATGCGTTCAAAATCAAGAGTATAAATCTTGCCACATGAAATAGTGTAAAAGTTAATGTAAATGTAGCAAGATTCAAATATAAATATATTCATCTCTTGCCGCTTTTTCATTCGATGAAATTTAGCCCCCGTTTGAGTCACATTATTGTAAAAATGAGAATAAAAAATATAGTCGTTATGGACCTTACATAAGAGATAAAAAGTCAAATATGATGGTTTGATGTGATGGATAACGATCATATAAAATGAGGAAATAATAAAGTTCAAACAGGGCTTGGAAACGTCAAAAAAATAAATAAATAAATAAATAAATTGGAACAGATATCATGCTTCCCAACGTACCATAGAGGCTAGGCACAAAACCAGCCACATCCTCCTAATACAGCTTGACGAGTGATCAGAACCAGAGTCCAAAATAAAAGTCTCTGAACCAAGAAACGATTTCGGTAGGCAAATTGTAGCTGCAAATGCAGTAGGCGATAAAACGGGGCACTAAGCACGAAAATTTTTCTTTTGATGTGATGGATAACAATCATATAAAATGAGGAAACAATAAAGTTCAAACAGGGCTTGGAAATGTCAAAAAAATAAATAAATAAATTGGAACAGATATCATGCTTCCCAACGTACCATAGAGGCTAGGCACAAAACCAGCCACATCCTCCTAATACAGCTTGACGAGTGATCAGAACCAGAGTCCAAAATAGAAGTCTCTGAACCAAGAAACGATTTCGGTAGGCAAATTGTAGCTGCAAATGCAGTAGGCGATAAAACGGGGCACTAAGCACGAAAATTTTTCTGAGCAGCAATTTTCTCTCTCCATCCCTCTTAAAATGCGGAGCAAGGACAAAATCGCCTACTTTTACGACGGTTCGCTGTCCTACTGCTCTTTCCATTTCTTCTTTAATTTTGTGTTGTGTGTTTCTAAATATATGTGTGGCCAGTGTCCTAATTGTAGAGAAATCATATTGCAGGGGATGTGGGGAACGTGTACTTCGGGCCGAGTCACCCGATGAAACCGCACCGGTTATGTATGACTCATCATTTGGTTCTCTCTTACGAGCTACACAACAAGATGGAAATTTATGTTGGTGATTTTACTCCTTTGATTTATTATTCGTATTTTTTTTATTTTTTTTTATCGTTTTTGGATTTTTTTTTTTTTTTAATAATTCTGTGGAATTTAGAGGCCCCATAAGGCATACCCAGTGGAGCTAGCACAGTTCCATTCTGCGGATTATGTGGAGTTTCTAAATCGAATAACGCCCGACACTCAGGTTTTGTTCTCGAATGAGATGGTGAAATGTAAGGAGTAATTAATTTTATGTTAATCTGTTGTGTTTTATGAGTGTGAAAAGGCATTCGTTGTTATAGGTTAGGAAGGTATTTAATTTTGTTATTCTCGGGTTAAATTTATAAAGTTTAAATTAGGGTTTTGAAGGACAAATGACTAATGAGATTTATATCTGTAGAAGTCTATCGCTGATGTAGCACCGGACCTTATTAGCTATGTTATTAGTGTTTTGATAACTGATGAAAGATTTTCAATGTCTGTAGTAATATAGATTAGTTGATGAAATGTATTTTCCCAACAAGGCTTGTATGAGAAACCATATGTAATTTATGAATTTTGAGGCATCTAATATTGGTTTCTTGACTGCGTTTGGTCAATTTGGGTTTATTTATAGATTGGATGACAAGATTCGAGGAAGGTTTTAGAAGTCATTAGAAGAAACTGGTTAAAGGTTATGAGAAGTCTTCAAATTTAGTTTTGGATTGTTGATTTAGTGAAGATGTTACTATCATGAAAACAATTCAAGCAACTTTAACATACAGATAATTTGTATGTAATTGATACTCAACATTTATCAAAGTTTTGTTTGCTATGAAGATATATGAATCTTCTACATGATTTTAGTTTTCCAATTACCTTTGTTTTACTATAATTGGAGCAGTGTAAGTTTCTACTAATCGTTCTTTTCTTTATTAGATAATCTTGGAGAAGATTGTCCTGTTTTCGAGAATCTGTTCGAGTTCTGCCAAATTTATGCTGGTGGAACAATAGGTAAAAATCCCATCTCAGTTGTGTCATGAAAGTTTGACTTACATTTACCAACCTTAACATAATATTTACTCACAGATGCTGCACGCAGATTGAACAACCGGCTTTGTGACATTGCAATAAATTGGGCGGGTGGATTGCACCATGCCAAGAAGTGTGAAGCATCGGGATTTTGCTACGTCAATGACTTAGTTTTGGGCATTCTGGAGCTTTTGAAGCATCATGCCCGTGTTCTGTACATTGACATTGATGTGCATCATGGTGATGGGGTGGAAGAAGCCTTCTATTTCACTGATAGGTATTTAAAAACATAAAATGCTGCCTGTTAACTTTTGATGCTGATCATTAATTTAACTTAGTATTTGATAACCAGATAAATAGCTTATATTATATGGCCCTCGTAAAGCTAATTTTCTGTTTAGCAGTTGGTCTACTTGTTAAATTTATAAAGTGTTTTTAGTTGGCTTTTACATCTTTTGTGTTGATAATATAAGTAACATTTCAGAGAGATTTATTGTCAGTTTGTTAAAGAACGTAGTTTCTGTGGGGGTGGGGGAGGGATGGGTTGGATGCGGGGATAACCCTTTAAAGAAAAAGGGTCTTGAATCGAAATATTGATTTTGGTGCTCTTTTGAGATGCTCAGGAAATTTAAATTTGTGAACTGCAAGTTCCAACCATGTCCAAGCTATTCTTTTCTGGTTTCATAGACCTTTCTTTAACTGGAAATAGATCTGATATTTTCTTTAAATAGTTCTTCTCCTCATCTTTTTTTCCTTTCAAACCTTATTTCTTCTTTAGTTGCATTTGATTTGATGTTTTTGCCATCCGAATGGTTTGATAGATTTAAAATTCTGTCTCGAGACTGGATTTTTTGAGCCAACAATCAAAGAGCAAGTTAAGGACACTGGCCATGTAAATTGTTCAGGCAATGGTAAAGTCACTTGGCCTATTATTGATTCTGGATTGTACAAAACTCAATCTGGTGATAGAACTTTCATAGACAGACTGTTCATTTGGAAATTTGCTTAATCTATCTAGTCCTATTCTTATGTTTTCAATTATTGCCAATACAATTTTTTATCTGTTTTGGAATGGAATTTTATACTTGAGCAGATATCCCATTCCTTATATGCTCAAAGATAGCTCATTCCTGAAATTGGGTTAGTGTCATACAGGTTCTAGAGTGATATTGTTGAACACAAACCACTAATTTTTACCAGTACTTTCAACTTGGCCTCAACAGGTTACCTTTGTCAGGCTAAAATTTTTTATTTACTTTTATAGTTAACTAGTGATAATTGAATTGTACCAAGTATTGGATCATTTTAGTCTCTCTATGGTGCTTGTACTCCTTGGAAATAGGTGTACCAATGGAGACAGGACTTGCTCCTGAAAGATATTTTAGGCAATTTATGAGAAATCTATGCCGTATTGAGTAGAACTTACTCCAATATTAATTAAATTGGCAGCTTTGATCTGGCAGGGTGATGACTGTTAGTTTCCACAAGTATGGTGATATGTTCTTTCCAGGCACAGGTGATCTCAAGGTACTTCTGCTACCATCTCTCTGTTTCATAACTGTCATTTTCACTTCTCTTGATTGGAAATGTGTTGTGGCATTATTTTTATAGATTAGTTTCTTAGGGTTCATTACATTCAATGATTGAATGGTTCATAATACGGAACACTGACGGAGTTTGAATAACTTGACAGTCTTATATTTATATGGTAATTATGCTCTTAGTTCATCAGTGTTTCAGTATCAAATTCTTTTGAGGTCACGTTTACCCTTGCAAAAAAATTGTTCCTGCACTTACTCCTGAATCAAATTCCAGCTTCCATCACTTTTAAAAAGAAACTGCTTCGACTCTCTGTGAAGTGCTTGTGGAAAGAGTGGTTTGATGAATAACGGGAGGAGAATCTGTTGTGAAAAGTATTTGTAGATATATGCAGTTGTGCGATGTATCTTTTACTGTATTTTCAATCTGGTGACTAACCCTAAGACCTATATAAACTGAATGCACATATCTCTACAGTGTGTTTTATGTTTTTTTTTTGTTTCCATTACTGTAAAGAGCTTTAGTGTGCTTGTCCAAGCTTGTTGACAGAATAGTGAAATGGCTTTTTCTGAGGTCTAACAGTCTGCTGTTAAGAAAACTAGCTTTGAGAATTCCTTGTGAGTTCGTTTTGGTCCCAGAATATTGTTCAGGGTAGACAGCCAGAGTCCAGTGTTGGGTGCTATATCTAAAAATTCTCTGAACTCATAAAAGATGCTTTTGCCTCTACCACGAGCCAATTTACTTTTGGCATCTTTGGATTTTATTTTCCCCCATAATAATTTATTTCATGTTTACCTTAGATTCCAGAAAATCACTAGCCTATTGTAAGTCATAGAATATAATATTCATCCCGCGTTTCAACTCACTTGATTAGTGTTACGCCAATATGACTTAGGCGATTACATGTTATTTCAAATTTAAATATTTTCTTGATTGAAACTGGGTGGTGATTCCTGATAGGCCTTGAAATATGTAAAAAAAATCTTGAGTAAGCTTTCAAACTATTCCAAGACTCCACCTTAATCTGGTTATAAAGGAGTTTTATCCTTGGTTTGATTTAATTTTGAAGGATATAGGAGAAAGAGAAGGCAAATTTTATGCCATAAATGTCCCACTCAAGGATGGAATAGATGACACCAGTTTCTACCGTCTCTTTAAGTTAGTAAGTTTTCCTGAATAGACACTTAGCGCTTCTTCTGACACGTTTCTTGTTCAGATTTGATGGTTTAAGGTTGTGATGTGATTATACAGGTTATTACGAAGGTTTTTGAAACATATCAACCAGGGGCAATTGTTCTCCAATGTGGAGCAGATTCACTTGCGGGCGACCGTTTGGGCTGCTTCAACCTTTCCATTGATGGTGTTATTTTGCTTGTAGTTGCAACATTTGTTGTTCCTTTCCCATTTTGTTGGCTGTCACTCTTCATTCTACCTTATGCTATTTCTCATACGTCAACTTCACCACCAAATTGGCTGCTTTTCATAATTTTGCTTACGTTATCATTGGATTTTTCCTGCAGGGCATGCAGCTTGCGTTAGGTTGGTGAAGAATTTGAATTTGCCCCTGCTGGTAAGCTTATATTCAAAACAAATTAAGAAATGCCCAGTTGTGTTGTACCGAATTATGAGCTGTTGAAAGGTGTTTTCTTCTTGCAGGTAACTGGAGGTGGGGGATACACTAAAGAGGACGTGGCTAGATGTTGGACTGTAGAGACCGGAATTCTTTTAGATGCAGAGCTTCCTGATGGTACGCTGATGCACCTGTGTCTCATGGGAATGCTCTGTTTCCCGTTACAGTTTTCTGATATATATGATTTGTTAGCTTCAATCTCCAACACTAATATCTTCTTCTGTTCATTTTTACCCCTTCTCAGATTGTCGATCTTTTCTTCTTTTTCATGACCTCGTGTACAATGTTTTTGGTATATTTTGCTTAGTGCATGTTTGGCTAAGCTCAAAATAGAAAAGCAACTCTTTAGTAGTAAAAAAAGTTATGTGAAAAGTAACTTGTTAAAATAAGTAACCTTCTTTAACTTTATTCAATAAAAAATTATTTGGTTTAAACCTTATTAAATTACTTATAAGTAGACTTTATAAGCATAGTCAGATGTGCTCTGTATAATTCTGCTATTAAGCATTCCTTTTCGCAATGTATCCAGGAGCAGAAGTTAGCAAAAGCAGTCTATATCTTTTCCATTACTGCAAAATGAAACTAGCTTAGTCCTACATCCTAAGTATTATATATCTTTGTCTTGCAGAGATACCAGAAAATGAGTACATCAAATATTTTGCTCCTGATTATTCATTGAAAATTCTGAGTGGGCCCATGGTATGTGAAACATTTTATATATCCCTCTACTCATTCCCCATTTGCTGCTACTTGCTATAATATCAATACACATCAGCTAATATCTGTGCTTATATAATTTTACTGGTAATGTTGTGTTATCTGTTGACTAAACAATGTCAAACTTTGTTGAATTTGTTGGTTCTGTTAACGTGTCTAACTAGTTGCTGTTAAGCATCGGGCCCATGGTATGTGAAACATTTTATATATCCCTCTACTCATTCCCCATTTGCTGCTACTTGCTATAATATCAATACACATCAGCTAATATCTGTGCTTATATAATTTTACTGGTAATGTGTTATCTGTTGACTAAACAATGTCAAACTTTGTTGAATTTGTTGGTTCTGTTAACGTGTCTAACTAGTTGCTGTTAAGCATTAAACAAAGCTTAATTTTCACATCTAATAATTTTGTTGATCGAGCAGGAGAATTTCAATAGCAGATCGTATCTTAACTCAATCAGGCAGCAAGTGCATGAAAATCTTCGCTCCATACAACATTCCCCTAGTGTACAGTTGCAAGAGGTAAGCAGAACACAGGAAATATTCAAGTCCAAACTAGTGCTGTTTCCGTGTATGCAGGAAGTTATGTTCTACATAGCATGCAAAAAAAGCTACTGCAAAGAATTTGATTTATGATTGTGCTAAAAATAGTTCTTCTGTTGATATCCTATTTATTAGTACGAGGGAAAAAATTGCAGAAATTCAAACCAATAACCTCTGTAGCAAGTTGGTCCCTAACCTTTGATTTGGAGCACTTAAATCCTTGATTTTTTACTTTTGTTGCTCTGATAGTCCCAGTTTCTATTCAACTTGCCATTAGAATTGCATGTGCAAGTATTGTGAGGGAAAAATGGATAAAACACAATAATTTTAATAAGAAATGAATAAAATAAGAAATAGGGAATAGAAGGAAAAGTAATGTCCTCCTCAATTTTATTTTTTATGTCAGTAAAATTTAAGTCTACGGTCGTCTTTTCAACAATAAATACAGTTTTTCATCCATGGAGATACTTCTGCAACAATAATACAGAGAAGGTTTGAGGACCAAAATGTTTTTAAGGTTAGGGACAAACTTGATACAAGGGCCAGAGGTTGGAGCCAAATCATGCAATTTTTCCTCAATTTAGTTATATTCAAAAACATGTTGTGTACTAACAATAATATTCATGATTAATGCTATAGAACAATCATAAGGGGCTTAAAATAGTTGATCTGATTGGTGGTTTGTACCATATATTATTTTGACTTGTCTAAGACTAATGATTGGTCCATCGGTTGATGGCAGATATGTGCCACTGCATGTATTTTTCTATTATACACTTCATGTGTTAAATTGGACTCGCTGATTTTTTTAATTATTTATTATTATTATTATTATTATTATTATTATTATATTCTTATTATTATTATTATTTTCAATTTCTAGGTACCCCCTGATTTTTACATTCCCGATTTTGATGAAAATGAGCAGAATCCTGATGTACGAATGAATCGTAAGTAAAAGCTGTATGGCTACAGGTCACACTTGGTTGAGGCCTCTTTTATCTCCTCGTGGTTTTATTGTACTCTTCCCGCATGTGCTAAGTATGTTACATTTCTCCTTAATTTATATGTCATCTCAGGACGCAAGAAAGACAAGCAAATCCACAACGATGCTGAATATTACGCAGGCGATAACGATAACGATCGTATTACGGATGATGCATGAAGTGTAAAGTTGGTGTTGACAAAATTCTAATTTTCTGGATGGCTAGGTCTCAGACTTTAGTGTGAATATGCAGAAAATAGACGTGATTATCTTTCATATATGTTTTTGCCTTCTATAAGAAATAGAAAAAAAATACGTTTATTCTTTTTCCTTGTTTCAATTCAATGTTTCGCAGGATCATTATGGTTTAGCTGCAAGGTGATTACATACTTCTTGAGTTTGTAATGTACGATTTGTACCTTATAGAATGTCTTTGGAAGTAGTTTTAAATTCTCACTAATTTGCAATCTACTCTTAACTGTTATATCTTTTTTGAGCCTGTTGCATCTAATCTTTGAGTAAACACGACTTGTTTGTAAATTGAATTGGATTGATGAAGAGAATTGCAAAATTAGTTAGTCTCCTCAACCTTAGCTTCACTTGCACTAGTGATGGCAATTTACCCCGCTCCGGTGCCGCCCCGTCCCGAATGGGGCAAAAAAACCCGCCCCGTGATTTTTTTTATTATTATTATTTTTATTTTTTATTTTTTTTATATAGAGAGTTCATTTATGCAACATATTTCAAAGTCGCTTTTTATTTAAATTTATTTTCTATCACAATTTTTTTAATAACATAATTTACATGTAGAGTCGTAGACCTATCATTTTTTTCATACTTTTTATTCACACATTCTCTAAAAATCATTTTACACTATAAGTAATTTTATCTCAAAACAAAAACTTAAATTTACATAAAGTAAGGGCATTTTTTATTAAAAGTTCAACTTGAATGTTATCCGTATTTTATTAAACTCGGAATTAAAAAAAAAAAAAATTAAACGGGGCAAGAAAATTGCCCCGCCCCGCCACGCCCCGTCGAAGGCGGCGTGGGGCGGGAGAGTTGCCCTGCCCTGAACCCGCCCTATTACCATCACTAACTTGCACCCGATAGTTATGTTCTATGCCCAACGTTAAACTTGGCAAGTTCTTTTTGTAATCTCGTCCAATTCAATAAGCCCAAAATGCTAACTATAATTGGAATCTTTTCTGTAACATTTTGTTTCTACACTCCCTGTAGCAATGAATCTTGAGTCCTTATTTTTTAAGAACGGGAGTGGCTCTCTTTGCCCTTTCGATCTCCTAAAGGAGCATCTAACAGTGAATGATGTCCCAGCTGGACAGTTTTTTATATTTAAAAATAACAAAAATGCAACTCGTACTATTATACATTAGTTATATAATGATTTACATACAGATGATGTATTAAAAAGAAAGTTAATAAGTTTATATATATATATTTCGTTGAAGAAATTTTGATCCAATCATATCTCATCACATCATGTTTATATAAATCATTATGTACATATAGAACAACCGTTCTATTAATGACTACCCCATTGGAATCCCAACTATCAAAATTATGTCTCTTTTTATTCAATAGGTGTGTGACCTTAGGAATTAGGTTCGAAAGTTGCTTTAGCAATTTAAGCTGGTACCAAGTGTGTAACATTCGGGCATGGTTTCCACTTGGATTTCTTAAGAGCGAATGCTTTTGAACTCAAGTATCCAGAAAAAAAAAAGTATATTTGACGGAGGGTCAGGGGTCCTAGCAAATATAAAAAAGAAATGCTCAATTAATCATGGTCATTATTGGAAATTCTGTATGAATTTCAACAAGAAAGATTACATTCTTTGTACATATAGAATGTATATTCATTACAGACTACCACAAAATCAGTGTGAGGTAGGATATAGTAAACTACGATCTTATTAATTGAAAATGCACGCATTTTTGGAATACTTAAATGGATTTATGTTCAGTAGAATAATTGGTTTACCCACGGGATATTAAATCGGATTAATGAGCTTGCAGCAAAAGAATCTCGGGGACTCAGCTTGCAACTAAGAATCTGAAACACGCCTATTCTCAGTTTCAGCTATAATACTTTCAAGTAGCGACTCACAAGCATCTTCGAGCAAATCCAAAACCTGGCAGAGACACAGAGAAGTTTAGTTTTACAGTACATCAAACGACAACTTACTAAGAGCATTTTTGGCTAAGCTATGAGCCTATGACTATGTTTTTGTTGCCCAAACACATTTGGATAAGTTACTTTTTTTCATAAATGGTGTTTAGATTAAATGATATAGTAGGCTGGGATAAATTTTCAATAGAAAATATTATGAAGTAGTTTAAATTGAACAAGATAGCTGAAGAAGGAAATTGTATTTATTAAAATAGGATTTTAGAAGATGGTAGAAGACTTTTACAATGACAATGCTTTGGACTTGTACACAATTGAAGTGGCAATCCCTATTTATAGCATTCTAAAGTTGGTCGAGTGCCACTAGAAAATTCTTATTTCTATATTATTTTATCTTACTTGGTCCAAAGTCAGCCCTAAACCAAAGCCAACTAGGCAATGGCCTAGGGCCTCTACATTTGGGGGCCTCACAAAAAATTAAAAGAATTTATTTGTTTGTGCAAAAAGTATTGCTGAAAGAGACAAATAATCTGTGATGCTTTGTGAATTGTTCTGCAAAAATAAGGCTAAAAGAGGCAAAGAATATCTGATGCCTTGTGAACTACCCTCTCAGTAAATCTTACCGTTTGTAGCCAACTAAATTAATCAGAATTTAGATTACAAAGTAATGAAAAACTAAAATGAACAAAGAAAACAAAAGCATGGAGTGTGCATTTATGAAGATTGAAAGTCTGTAGTCATTTTAGTGAGTTATACAAATTTTAAATTAACTGCATACAATTGGAGCAATTTAAATCTCAGCTTTCAACAATTACTTTCACCAAAATAACAAATGCACAGAAGAGTGATCAGATTAATACAAAAGAAAAGTTTGAATATGATTCAAAATCTGAGAACTAAGCATGCACTTATTTGGCTGTGGGGCCATTCTGATATAGTAATATGCACAGATTCATAGTATATTTAATAGATTCTTGAAGGGGCATTGGTTTGTATGTTATACATGGATAACTATGGAAAGTTAAGTTACTAGAGAATTTTATTTATTTAAATGATGTTACTTTAATTACGAATTAGATTAGATTATTTTTTCTAGTACAGGCCTAATACATTTACAAGTTTTTTTTTTTTCAAGTGGTGAACATAGAATTGTCTACAAACGACAAGATTTACATAGAGGGCAATTCACAATGCATCAGCTATTCTTTGTCTCTTTTAACCTTTTTTTTGCAGAAAAATTCACAAAGCATCACAGATTATTTCTCTTTCAGCAATACTTTTTGCACAAAGAAATAAAGTCTTTTAATTTTTTGTAGAGGCCCTGGGCCATTGCCTAGTTGGCTTTGGTTTAGGGCCAGCCTTGGACCAAGCAAGATAAAATAATACAGAAATAAGGAGTTTCTAGAGGCAATCCACCAGCTTTTGAATGCTATAAATAGGGGTTGCCACTTCAATTGTGTACAATTCCAAAGCATTGCCATTGTAAAAGTCTCCTACCATCTTCTAAAATCCTATTTTAATATATACAAATTCCTCCTCCAACTCTCTTGATCAATTTAAATTACTTCATAGCCACTGTTTGAGCCACATTATTTTCAAAAAAATATATTCTTCAACAGTGATTTAACATCATTTCAACCACACATTTTTTCAATAAAATAATATTACACACAAATCTAAAACTTTTTCTTATTTTTAACCACACATTTCCCATTGATTTGACATCAATAATGCATTTTTTCCCTATAATGTGGCTCAAACAAGCCCATAATATTTCTATCCCAAAAACATAAAATTTATCCCATACAAAGCCTACTATATCATTTAAACTAAATCCATTTATTTCTTCTACTCAAAATAAAAATCAAATTATCTATTTCAATTTACATGAAAATGAACAATATAAGAGATTAGCCAAACATGCTACAAGCATTTTCTCAGAAAGTTTGGGGACAATAAATCTTTTTTGACCACTTCATTGTCAACTAGGACAGCAAGGACAACATATATTTGGCATGATTGTATAGTATTGATGTAAATATCTAATACAGTTATAAGCTTCCTTATTTGTTAGCATAGATTGATATTAATTTCCGAAAATCAGCACTCTGAAGAACTCTCACAATAAGAGACATTCGATCCAATTGATACTCGTGTGGTGCATTGCTAGACCTACGAGAAAATCTAAAGCAACTATGTTTAGAATGGAAATTGAGCCTTCCGTGCTCCAACTAAATAAATGCAAATGTTTAATGTTGCTAGTGTCGTGAGTATGGTATAGATTAACACTGAAATTGTCAAGATAATCAAATGTTGGACTTCCTCAACAAAAATGAAAATAATAATTGGACACTCGACAGGGTCTGTGTGTACAGCTTAGGAGGTAAAAGGATCCCTATCTAAAAGCATGAAGGGGTCATGCGTTGCAAGTTCTAGCCCATAGAGCAATTCTTTCTTATTTACAGTAAATCACAAGATGCTAGAGCAAACCATTTCTAGTGGAAATGTTTATCTGCATTCATATCTAGCAGATCAATGGACCACCACATGTTTCTTTGCTATAGATTTTCTATGAAGAGGTAATCAAATCCAATGATATCTCATAGCAAAAAAAAAAAAAAGAGGAAAGAATATGATCCCTTTCCATTCCCGTGAGGACCTCATCTTGGAAAGAGAATGCACAGCTCTTCTTCTACTCACATGTCGGAAGATAAGTCTGCATCAACGGGACGTTCATACATTCCTAATTTAAAATAAAAAATCATTCTGACTCCCCAGAAAAGGCTATTCCTTTTCTTATATTTAAAGTATTTTCAGCTAGAGTGTATCCCTGTATCCAATCAAGAATAAACAAAGTGCTGACCACTACATTTTAAATCAAAAAATGATTCTCGTACACTTCGAAATAGTCAGAATACCCGTATTAGACACGATACGACATGAATATGGGTATGTGATATGTGTTAGATTCTCCAAATTTCGACCGGACACTATGTAATTTTTGCTTATTCTTTTTTCTTCTTTCTTTTTTCTCTTTTCCTTTCCCTTTTCTTCTTTCCCATTTTCGCTCTCTATAAACCTAGCATCGCCGCCAAAAAGATAGAGAAGGACAGCGGCGCTTAATTTTCCCTTCTTTTTTTGCTCTTTTTCTTTCCATTTTCTTCTCTTTTTTTCTTTCTTTTTCTCTCTGTAATGGTGGTTTAGGGTTTCATTTGTATAAAATGAAAATGGGTTCCATATAGTGCTATTCAGTGTTCCACTAAGTCCAAATCGTAATCAAATCCCTCATTTTCTATTTTACATAACATTTAATAATTCTCATTATTGAAAACTAAACCCCAAAATTCTAAGTTATTCGTCTTATCTCCTTATTCAATACTCATTTCCTTTGTTAATAATTTATTTTGGCCTATTCAAAGTGACATTTTGGATTAATAAAAAAAATTGAAGTTTGAAAGACGTATTCATATCCAAAATTTGAATTCTTTTTAGCCATGGCTCCGCATCCTACATTTTAGAGAATAAAAGATCCGACACTTAGATGCGTATCCGACACTAGTACCCGAGTCCAAGCATCATAACAAGTAACACGACCTCTACTATGTGCCTTATACTTGAAGCTTAATTAGTTCTCACTCATGTAGACACATGTAAGTCTTTGGACATGCAAAGAAGGTTTCTACATTGCAGCAGAAGTTCTTAAAAGTTTGATTATGATGGTAATATGATCACAAAGTAGGTTTTACAAGAAAATAATATGAAACGATTATAAACACTAGAAGACTATAACAAAACCTACCAGGCAGCTAAATTTATTAAGTACTGCAGCTTGTTTTGATCACGTCTCATTACAATGGAGAGAAACATTACCTTTTCAAAACCTTGCGGCCCACCATAGTAGGGGTCAGGTACTTCAGTTTCGTCATGCTTCTTGCAATAAGAACACATTAACCGGACCTGCAACATCATTATACCTTATAATATCACATTCATAAATATGGTACAATAAAATAAGAAATATACGGTATAGTGGACATATATGATATGGAACACGGTTTTATATCATAGAGTGAAAATTATAGCACAACTCCCTTTGCATTATACCAACGTGCTACCCACATACTAACCTTCTTATCTGCATCAGCCGGCAATGTCTCTCTGTGCCTCCACCTTTCAAATGACTCAAGTATATCCTCTGTACAAAATGAAATCATAAAGAAAGTCCAGCTTAATAATTGTCACTGTTCAACAAGGAAGAAATGGACATTTTGTGCGAGTCTAAGCAGGAATTGCATTATAAGGCCTCATGTATTCTGAAAATATTAAAGCAGACAAAAAATGAGCGTCGTAGCTAATGCACTATCCCACCTTTGTTTTGCTTGTCCATTGCAAGAATAAGATCAAAATCCCTGAAATCAGATGGCCTTAACGGCCTTGATATAGAAGTTATCTCAACCCCACGCCTTTTTGAGGCTGCCCTCATTCTTGGATCCGCTGGACCACCCTTACAAATATAAGACAACAACAATTACACCAATATTTATTTACAGATTATCCAGCAACTAAGGAGAAAAACATATTCCAAATAACCACACAATGTGCTAAACAATTCCCAGAAATATTAGGCTATTTCAAGTAATACGGCTATAGCACACATATCAAGTGGCTTTTAACTCATCCTGTGATTCGCAAGCCCAGAAAGCGTTTACCGCATAACTCATACATTTAAAACGAGAAGTTGTAAACTTGGCATCTAATTATACCAGTCACCTATCCCTCGATTGCGGATCCACTTCATACTCCTACAAGTGTGAAAGATTTTTGGGGGTCGTTTTCCACAAAACATAGACTAAGAGACCTGAGATCACCGTAGTACTTGTGATTTTGTTTGTGCAAAAACTTGCAACACTCAAAATAAGCTAAACTTCTGGGAATTCGTTTTGAGCTTCCATAAATTATTACAAGAAAAACTGGGGACTGGGATTTAATCAGCATGTATACCTCGTGATAATTGATGGTACCAGCCGAGTCAATGTAGAACTTGGAATCAAGGCCTCTTTCCTTAACAAGGTGCCTGAAAACACCTTCGGCAGCTGGACTTCTACAAATGTTGCCAAGGCAAACAAACAGCACTGAAAAGGGTTCAGTGGTCTGTGAGTTATCTGCGGTTGTTGATGCCATTGATGAAGTTGTCATTTTTGTGGGTTTTACTGCAATTTGTCTGAGTTTGTAAAAAGGGTTCGTTGAATTATGAAGAAAAAGTGGGGATTTGGGGCAGAAGAGAGGAAAGAAGAAATCGCCAGAAATTGGGGATTTGGCGATGAAAGGACTTGGAGCCTGTATTGGAGTAAATAAGGCTCTCATTGGTTCTTGACTTGTTATGGGTGTGTCCAATTAGAGGGTTGGAATTGGAGAATGGGGAAAGAGTGAGAAGTGGAAAATTTATGGACATGATACAGCTTGAAAAGGATTGAGTTTTTGAACTACAAGAATTTGTTCAAAATGGATTATTGATAGCACATAAGCTCATGTTTGTGCCTCGTTATCTTAAAATACATCTTTCTTTTAAATTCATTTTCAACGCACATTCTTTCAAGAATTAAACTACTACAATAGAAAATGGGTGACAGAAATGTTGACACCCTCTCATGTGTGTGTGTGTGGGTTCCTCTCGAATAAAAAATTTCCAAAAAAAGTGGGCCACACCCTAAGTGTGAGTGATCTGTCAAAGTGTATGTCATCCATTTTTCTATTAGTGTAGCAAAATTCTTCTTTCAATAAATAATTTACATTTAAATTTGGAAAAAAAATACTTTATAATCAAGTAATCTTCAGAAAATTCACTATAACAAAACTCGTTTTTTTTTTTGTTAAGAGTGGGGTTCAAACGGGGAAAGTGTTAAAAATATATTGGGTAATTTAGATTTAAAATGTGATTCTAATTTACAGCCAGTTAGTGAGTGATTTTTCTCCCCAAAAAATTGATTTTTTGACCGTTATTTCACTATTTCAGCCGTCATATTTGACTTCTTCTCTCACAAGTGGACCCCACTTTTCTCTTAACGATCAAAAAATCAATTCTCAAAATTATTTCCAAACAGACTCTTAAATAAGTTTGACTTCAAACAAATTTTACCATGGATTCTTTCAATTCAATCTTGTAGAGAGCTAATTAAATAGTCAATTGCTAACATTTGACTTCCATTACTACTTACCCATCTATAAATAAAAATAAATAAATAATTAGCAATAGCTTTTAGACAAAGTTACTCATTCATCACCAATTTAAAATCTATCCGTCCACGTGAACAAGAAAATCTATGTGACAGACCGAAATAATACGTGGATGTGATGTTGTTAAATTTTTGACAGCTTGAACCAAAATTCAATTAATGAAAATAAATTTTTTCTTCCAAATTTCCAATGGTGATGGCCCCAAACCAAGACTCAATTTTTCCAAAATCAGACCCAAATCGATTTCCTCTCCATGATAAAATTCAACTTTCCTCACATTAGACCAAAGGCATTTCCAACCCAGTCTGAACGCCAGATCAAGAAATGGTGGCATATTGAACTTTAATTTGAGATATCTCCAAATCCATATGAACCCTAGATTCCACTCTACAATACTCACATATGTAATAGTATCAGGCTAACTGAATAGATTATTTACAAAGCATCTAAAGACTGCTAATTAACAGGCAAATAATTACTCTTGCAATATAGTTATCATTTTGTTCTGTAGAAATTGTTGCACTCATACCTGAACAGTATTTAATCAAAATTATGAACCTATAATTTTAAGATCTAGTGGTATTGGTTGTGGGTTCGTAGAGGTTGCAGTCGTAGGGGGATTTTATTTGGGAGAGTTAAATCTCAAGTTGGGGAAATCATTGCTGGAAATTTGAAAGAAAAAAGTTTTTTTGATTAATTGAATTTTGGTACAAGGTGTGAAAAATTTAACATCATTACGTTCACTTATGATTTTCATCTGGCATATGAATTTTTTGTCCATGTCGACGGATAGATTTTAAATGGGTGATGCATAAGTAACTTCGCCTAAAAATGGGCGAGTAATCGATAACTTTTTTTTTTTAGTTAAGTAATAACTGATGTCAAATTTTATTGATTAACTATTTTATTAACTCTCTTCTATGTCTTATTGGTGAGATAATATATAATGTATGAGAAGACCAAGTCAAGCCTATAATTTTTTTTTAAAAAAAATGTCCATTTTATAAGGATCCTGTTTAGCCAATGGGTGGTCATGCATGAATAGCTTCAAAATATCTTCAACGGACTCTTTATTTTTAAAAATCATATTTTACAGTTTAGAGAGTGCCTATAAGTTTATAGTGTAAAAATTTCTAACTACTCCAACGGGCTCTTTATATTAAAAATTTAATTTTACTACTCCTAAAAAATATTTATTGTTTTTTCTATCTTTTATGTTCACTAGCTTCCCTTCAAATTATTGTATTTTTTTTTCTTTTGTTGAAATTTGAAATATTTTGAGTGCATCTCATTATAGAAAGTGAAATTTGACTCTCAAAATTAAAATGTTAATTTAAAGCATAATTTTAAGGGTTGAAAATTCTATCCGAACCAAGTCGCCAATTGATATGGTTTGATTAAAGTCTCTTAACTCATTTTGAAATAACACGTTTGAATAACCTTAAATTTGTGATTTTATTTCTCATATTTGTATTTAACGAGATTATAATCGATTACAAACTTAGTTAAAATGTCAATCAATGAATTAACTGAAAATATCATTATAGCAAGAGTAATGCTATGTAACCCCACTGGGATTGTAATTCCAATTTAAGTGATATTAGATGATAAACTAAATGAAATGTAAAATTAAATAATTTATTTAATTCCACATATCATTTAATGACACATCAACACTACCTAGAATGGGGTTAAAACCTCAGTGGAGCTATATAACATTACTATCATAGCAATGGAGGAGCCAAAAAGGGTCCTGGGAGGGGTCGACCACCCAAATTTAATGTAGATTTTATTTTATTTGTTATCATTTTCATAAATTAAATAAAATAGCTCATAGAATACGAATTGATTGAGCCTAATGATATAGTTTCTACTTTTTATCTAGAGTCAAATTTTTTTGTATCATCACGATCATAATTTTATTTTTCTTTTTTCTTTTTTTTGAAAATTTTATGCAATTATTCCCCAACCTTTAGGACCTCTAGATAAATTCATCCCAACATTTAAAATAAAATTTTCAATTCACATCCTTAAGTTCCATTTGAAAATTTTATCATTTTCACATGATTTCATTAACATTAGCATTAATTATTTCTTACGTGCAGGGGCAGACACAGATTATAATTTAATGGGAGCGAGACAGAAAATGAGCTGCAATAAATTGTGAAAGAAACCAAAAAATTTTGAAAATTTAAATTTAGAAAGGTCCAATCAAAGGTTTTTGAAAATTTAGTGGGGGTGGCCGACCCCACTTGTCCCTCAGTGGGTCCGTCCGTGCTTGCATGAGATGCGCGAGCTGAATTTTGGAGTTGGCAAGGTATGCCATAACATAATCTTTCATATTTAACATTTTATTTATTTTCAGTTCAAAAAACTTTATTGTTTACTTTAAATGTCACTTTTTCTATTAACTATCACTACATTGTCGATCATTGACTATTGTAACACTGTCACCCATTATTGGGCCCTAAACCAAAATCCAAGCATTGCCAATTAATAGTATCTTTTATTCTCTAAAAAAATTATTATTATTTCACACGTAAGAGACTCAAAGTGACAAATACTAATTTTAGTATAATTTTTTGCGAGTATTTCAATATTCTCTAATTTTACACACGTAATACTTTTTTACTATTATTTTTCACGTTATTGCTCTTGGACTACAAAACAAACATATTCTAATGACTTCGAATTTTTCATGATCCTTTGAGCATTTTCAATACACATCATGGGTTGCAATCTAGATAACGTTTAAAAAAGGAGACTTTCAATCCATATGGTAATAATGTCTAATAAATAGATGACTAAGTTCGATTTTCATTTCCAATAAATTCCATCTATAATTCAAATTTCACTGAAAATGTATATTCAACATGAGAAAGAAATAATAATAAACGAGGAAGAGGATAAAAGGAAACAAAAGAGAGAAGGAGATTGAAAATAAATCATGGTGACTCACTCACTCAGAAGGTCCTCTATATCTAGTCCTTGTTGACAATGCCTATGTATTCTTCTTGTCATGTCAGCTGGACATGATGCACATACTACCTAATTCAATTTATGTGACGTTAGCAATAAAGATGTCCATGTCATTTCAAGCATTTGCACCTGATTTAGCCTCATTATTTAAATGTATTTTTTTTTAAATTAATTTTCAATCATACATTCTTCTAATAAATAATTTTGTACGTAAGACACATATTTTCAATAAATGATTTTCAACAACACATACTCCTAATAAGTAAATTTATCAAAAACACATTATCGATAGAAATTATGCATTGTTTGGATTTCATATTATTTAAATTCTACTTTTCAAAGTCAAACATTGATTATGAACACATATTAGTAGGATCCATGAGCAGGCTGATCCTCTGATTGTCGAGACTCGAGGCGAAGTTCAAAATTAGGTCCCTAAAATCACTATAAACGCAAAATTCAACAATTTATTGTGCAATCTATTGTTAACTTAAAACTTAACATTAAAATAACAAACAAATATATTTTACAAAATATTTATATTATGAAATAACAAAATCAACAATGTTTCAAACAATTAGTTAAATACTAATCGCCTTGTTGTTTTAAAGGAAAAAATATTAATCAAATCTAAATAATTTAGTTGCCCAACCATTTCTTTCTCCATTGACAACATTGCAATCCATTCAATCATTCTTGTGAGATAATTGATCGGAAGTAAGTCTTGATCAATCTCAATTTCAAGAAACTTCTTTCTACAGATGCAACTGTAACGGGTATGATTAATAAAATTTTGTTAGCAATATAAGCATTTGGAAAACAAATTCAATGTCTTCGACCATTGTAGCACTTCAATTGTTCTTGTTGCTTTACTTGATATATAACACTTCAAAACTTGTAACCCCAAACATAAATTATCTTCACTAATGTTTGAACGCCCATTATGTTCCAAATATTTCTCAAGATTCATATAAGAGTTCAACAAACTTAAATAAGTTGCATCCCTTGACATCTTCAAATTAAACAAAAATTCAAATGTGTCATCATATTGTCTGAATTGATCAAATCGAGCCCTTAGATAAGATATATCTTGATCAATTATAAAAAAAAAGTATTTAATTTAAAATATTCTTCTGCCGATTGCTTTACCTCATCAATTCCACTTTCATCAAATTGTTTTTCTTTGAATTATGTACTTTTCTGTAAATACAGCTTCAATTCCTATTTCGATTGCTTTTTTGTTGCTTCATCCATGACAATAACAAATTCACTCTATAATCTCCAATAAATGAAACAAGTCATTGCAAGAGGTTGATAGCATGATCAATATCTATGATTTTAGTTTGAGAAATTTTACTCACAATATTGACTGCACACAACAACATATACTAGTACCATGCCAAGCAATAACTCAAAATTCTAAAACTTGTATGTTGCTAACGACTCGGCTTCACTCTTTACTTTAAGATCTTCGTTACTTTAGACCAAATCAAGCAAACCATCTCTTATTTGTGCAGTTTGCTCCATTATAAGCTTCACACTCTTAATATGATTTTCCCAACGTGTTTGTAACAATGACATCACTGTCAAACCTTATACATTATTTTTGAAAAATTTTCGTCTCTTAGTAGAAGATGAGAACAATGTGTAGATGCGCTGTATCATTCCAAAGAAAGATACAACTTTAGAACTACAATTCACCATATCACATAATGCTAGATTTAGACTATAAGAGCCACATGGAGTATAGAAAGCTCAATGATTCATTTCAAGTACTATTTTTTACACACATTTGTGCTTCTTGCTTATGTTATATCTATTATAATATCCTTACCATCTAACATCATCAATATCAAGATCAAGTTTGATCAAAATCTTTTGAAGCTCGGCTGTAAGTCCAAGTCCTGTTGTGTCATCTACCTTAAAAAATTCAAACCAATATTCTTTAACTGTAGGTAAGTTTGCTGAATCATCTACATATCGTACTAATAAAGACATTTGCTCATTGTGACTTGCATCTGGAGTAAAATCAAGTATAAATGTGAAATATTTTGCGTGTTTAACTGCCTTAACAATTGAACTTCTCACCTCATTAGCCAATAACTGCATCAAGTCATTTTAAATTTTTTTTTCAAGATACATATATTGATAGCTCAAGAATGATTAACAAAGAGGGGGTGAATTGGTTTTTAATTTTATTTTTTTTGAAAATTAATTTTAGATTTAAATCAATATGATAAAAAAATGAGATAATTAAGCAAGTAGACACAAATAAGAAAGCAAGCAAAGACTAAATAGATAAATTCAAATAATAAACGCAAGTATAAAAGCGATAAATAAAAGGGAGAGATGATGCAAACGATATAATTGTGGAGGTTCGATCCAAAGCAATGATCTATGTCCTTTGTTACCAAGTTTTCTGGCACGAGCAAGACATTTTTCACTGTGTTGATTGACTTATGGTGCAATCCAAACCGTTACAACGCTTCCGGTGACTTACAACCAAGGAGCATCGATCCTTATATAATGTTGAGCTTTACGGAATCTCAACACGATCCACACTATTAAGGTTTACGAGACCTCAATATGATCCACACGATGACTTTCAACAAGGAGCATCAATCATTTTGCCACGTTGAAATTTTTGGGACTTGAACACAACCCACAATCAAACAAGAAAAATGATATTACAAGTAAAAGCCTCTCTCTTAATAAACGGTATGATCACAATTAAGTATCTAGAGAGAAGTAGGCTAACACTTCAATAAATAGTAACAAATGATAGCTCACGAGTTAGATGAAAAACTTCGATGAATATGATAATTAAAAATTAGATTCAACCAATCAAAGTGTTACAATGAGAAGATGAAAAAGAATTAAATGTAACGTGAATTCAAATAATCTTCTCAAGAGATAACTCTTTTTTAATAAATGATTGTAATAAATCAAGTGCTAAGAGAGAAATGAGGAACTTTGAAGAATATGATGATTTTACAAGTTTGATTCATATAGTATTTATGTCCCTAACAATTTTTCATGACATCATTTTTCTTACACTCTTCATTAGTTAATACTTTTGTGCTTTATAACAATTTCTGCTCTAAAACTCCATTGAAATAACGTATAGCAACTTATATTCTTATCACATATTTAGAAATATAAATTAACGAAAAAGTACAGAATAATATTTTTCCGTCCTTTCAAAGATGATAATAAAATGAGTTATTTTGCTGCTTGTATAGTACATATATCGTACAAGCTTACACCCCCTTACACGAGGGGGTCCCACAAATAAAATATTCAACGTGGGCCCCTTGCACGTGAGGGGCTGTCAACCTTGACGCGCACCAAGCATGACCCAAATAAATTTTTTAACATAAATTATTATCAAGGATGTGATGTACTAATGAATAGAATGTTGAAAATAAGAATTCGACAAAAAACAGTAAGGAAATAATTGTTACAATGAACAAAGATCAAATAGCTTAATTGTAATTAAAATATGGTGTAAAAAAAAATTGAGGTGATAATATAATTATTCAATGACGAAATACAGGACTTTGATGAAGTGAATGGCCCAATCTTTTTTTTTTTTTTTTTTAGCCTTATTTTGATGCGTCTATCTTGGAATTGGAACAATATATATAAAGAAAAATCACTCGGTGCTTGAAACATCTAACCCAACCATCAAGAAATTTCTTTATTATTCTAATTTGGATTATCATCACTAATTTTTTGTTTTTTTAACTTGAATGGTTACTGAATTTTATCAAGTGTTACTACTTAATAAATAATAACTGAACTTAAAAATGTATTTCAATGGTTACTGAGTTTTATCAAGTATTACTACTTCATAGTTGAGATTAAAAATGTATCTCAATGGTTGCTGAACTATGCACTGTGTCATTCATCCATTATTCAAATAGAAAAAATTGTTAGTCAACAAACGATATCTACTCGAGTGATAGATGGGTAATACAATGTATAGTTCAGTGACCATTAAGATACATTTTTTTAGTTCCGTTATGAAATAGTAACACTTGACAAAATTCAGTGACCATTAACTTTTAAGTTCAATTATTAAGTAGTAACACTTAGCACGGTTCAATGATAATAAAGATATCTTTTAAAATTCAATTATTAAGTCTCTCAAATCGATATCTATGAAAGGAAAAAACAGAAAATGAAAAACCAGAGACCTATAAATAGAAGAAAAATAGAACTTTTGTGGATGTTTAATCTAAAATAAATGAACGATAGTCTTCGACATAATGTTTTGCTGTCCAAATGGGAAGATATACGATGCTAAATTCGCTCAATGATTTGCGGAGTTATCAAATTCCCGACTAGCATATTTCCTACATTGGCAACTTTCGCTTCATTCACTTGAATTACTGGATTGTTAAATTCATTGGTCATATATATATTGTTTTGGTCTTTTTGTTGTTGTACTTATCTTATTTCTCATTGTATATGGTAAAAAAAGTACGTTTGATTTTTGGATCAACTGGTATTAATTTATTATATCTTGAATTTCGCATAAAAAGATTGAAAGCGAGACCGTAGTACACTGAAAGAAGTTAAGATAGAAAAATAAAATGAAAGTACAAAAATGTTTGAATTAGTGCTAAGGCAATTGATGTCGGTTTGATTTGTCATTTTTTTCTCTCTGCATTTTCTTTAATTTCTTATTTCATGAAGGTTGATTTGAGGGAAAATGAAAATTTACTACTTAATAACCAAACTTAAAAAATATATCTCAATGGTCACTGAACTTTATCAAGTGTGACTACTTCATAATTGAATTTAAAAATACATCTCAATAGTCACTAAACTTTACCAAGTGTAACTACTTCACTGAACTATGCACTGTATTATCCATCAATCACTCAAGTTAACGCCTTTTATTGAACCTAACAAATTTTTCCATTTGAGTGATGGATAATTAACATAGTGTATAGCTTAGTGACGATTGAAATATATTTTTAAATTCAATTATAAAGTAATAACACGTTACAATTGATATACAATTTTAAGTTTAATTATTAAGCGGTGACAACTGACAATTAACAAAGTTCAGTAACCATACAATTAATTAACGCTCTCATCGTCTCTTCTAAAATATGAAAATAGATATTACCGAGCAAAGAGTCGATTCCGCCCAACGTTCAATTCGACAAACATATAAGTCGAAGCACATCATCATCCTTCTAGTAGATTTGCTTCAGGATTTGCACTCGCAATTTCCGGAATTTGTTTGCTAATTTTTCCGCTCTATCACATAGCAGCAATTCTTTAGAATTGATTTATTAATAACCCAGTATAATCGAAGGTATAGTTGCGAAATTTGCGAAGATTAACGATGGAGGAAGCGGCAGCTGAAACGGCTAATGGAAATTTATCGGCTCAGGCCGCCGTAGACGCCGAGGAGGAGCCCATGGTTGGGCCCGGTCCGGCCCCTCGCTCTCGGCTCAAACGCCCACTCCAGTTCGAACAGGCTTATCTCAACTCCCTTCCCTCTGCCAACATGTATGTATTATGTAATAGTTTGTTTTATCAAGATCAAACTCAAAGAAGTATATTCTTTTGGGTTTAGGGTTTTTGACATAAAACACTCTCAAACTTTATTGGAGTCTAGAAAATTATGGGCTACTTCATTGCAGAACTTCTCTTTGTTGTTCAAGTTAGAAAATAATCAGTTTTAAAGAAAAGTAGGTTGATTTCATTAATTGAATATATGTTGTGTAGGTATGAGAAAAGTTATATGCACCGCGATGTGGTAACACATGTTGCAGTTTCGGCAGCTGATTTTTTCATAACTGGGAGTGCAGATGGTATGGGAAATTCGGCATTCATCTAATTAAGTTACTGCATTAGCTAGTTCTTTTCTTATTCAAATAAATTTGCTTGTTGATAACCCGTATTAAAGTCAACTAGTAGAAACAAGTTTACTAGTCATATACTTCTTAGTAGAGGAGACTGCTACAAGATTCTCGTTGGTGTAAAATATTTTAATTTCCCTGTAATGAATATAGCTTTGGTGAAGTTTGTTTGTTGCATAACTGATGGAGATCTATTTTGACTCATGAAAAGGAGGAAAAAATGGGGAGTTAATTGATTAGTGAGATCATATTATTTCATTAAAGAAGAGGGAGGGGGTTTTTTCTTTCCCACCTGGAATTATCCTTGAAAACAAAGACAGACAGCCTTTTGAGTTACTCTTTTGTTACCATTGCATTTCTGTTTTTAATGTACTGATATTACGAAATTGCAGGTCTGAATCAGTGAAATATTTAATTTGTTGGTATAGATGCAATGCTGCTTCAGTTGTATGTTATTGGAGTTTGATGCCTTGTGTTCTGATCTTATTATGTTGCAATACTGATTTTCTTATAGTAACGAAGTAGATAATGACAATAATGGTATCTTGTTGCTCTTCTGGTTTTTTATTTTATTGATACCTTTTGCAGGACACTTGAAGTTCTGGAAGAAAAAGGCTATTGGCATAGAGTTTGCAAAACATTTTAGATCCCATCTTGGTCCAATTGAAGCTCTGGCTGTGAGTTGATTTGCTTTTACTTTGATGTGTTATTAACGAGTTGTGAATGCTACTAATAAATGGTGATCTCTGTCAAGCTTATGAACTTTCTACTAATGCTTATCATATGTGATTGCAACTTCAGTGGTTACTGTTCATGAGCAATCATTCGGCATTAAGGAGTAATAATCCTCTCTAAATCCCTTTTATTCACCAAATTCTTGGTTTTTCCAAATTGGCCTTGTTATTTCTTATTCTACCATCCCAACTTAAATTATTATTATTCTTCTTTAAAGAGCATTTTATCCGTTAACACAACTTCACTACTTGATAATTACATTAATATATGACTTACTTGTTAAAAACTCCAGCTTATTTGTTGTGTCGAGTGCCTCCAGCAAAATATCATGGTCGCTAATATTGTTGTGATAGGAGAATAATTTGTTGTCTCGAGTGCCTCCATCTAATTCTGACTGGTTTAGCGTTGTTTGTATCTGGGCATCAAGAGAAATATAATAAAGGCAATTTTAGATTAAGAGCTACAAGCTTAAACAGCCACAGGCTTCTAATATTTCTTTTAAATCATGCGGTATGGTGCCATCCAAAGAGGACGAAAAGGAGAATCATGAACGCAAAACCAATAACCAAAATTATCACTGAGGAACAAATGGATAACCCATGGAGATGGATAACAAGGTGTAATGATTTTTTTTTCTAATTAATTTCTTTGAAATTTTCGGGCTTGACTATTGAAATTTTCGACAAACAGGTTCACAAAGTCCCGTTTTTGGAACAATTGGTTTTCCCTTGTTCCAACTGAATGCATTGTTGTACTTTTCCTTAGTTTTGCAAATTGCCCTCCACATCTTTTTGCATGGAAAATGTTTATTAAAAGATGGCTTCCTGTACTACTCACCAATTTATATGTTATTGCCTTTGTTGCATAGTTGTTATGCTGCTGCAACGATTTATTGTTGCACGAGATATTTTCTTTAATTGCAATTTCTTAGTGTAGATATCACCTTATCCATTACATTTTTGCAGGTTAGTGTTGATGGGACGCTCTGTTGTACAATCTCAAATGATCGATCAGTGAAAATATATGACGTTTTCAACTATGATATGATGGCCATGATCCGTCTTCCATTTTTACCTGGTTGTATTGAATGGGTTTACAAACAAGGGAATGTGAAGGCCATGCTAGCTGTTAGTGATCGCAACTCATCATTCGTGCACATATATGATGCACGAGCAGGTTCAAATGAACCCATAGTTTCTAGAGAGGTGGGGAGATTTCATTCATGAAGTTTAATGCTCCTTTTTACCTTTTCTTTGCATTCACGAGGATACCTTAATTCTTTCTCAAATCTTTGGCCAGATTCATTTGAGCCCGATAAAAGTAATGAAGTACAACCATGAATATGATGCTGTTATTTCTGCTGATGACAGAGGAATCATTGAGTATTGGAATCCTGCTACTTTGCAGTTTCCAGAAAATGGGTAGGTTTTGAGTGGAGATTTATTTAACGTTTTCTTACTAACTGTAAAGAATGAAGAACATGAACACATGTATATTGAAAATCGAATTGTCCCTAAACTTTTTGGACTCATTTATTGTTAATAGGACTTCACACAGTTTAATAGATTGTGCCAGTATAATGATGTTCTCTGCTGATGTGATCTACACTATGATGCCACTGAAAAATGAAGTGCTCTAGGATTAGCCTTTGGGTTTGATGTTGTAATATAATTTTTCTAAGATATGTTCGTGATGTTAAAAAAATGCCCGATGCCTAATCTCTGAAATGTGAGCATATTGAATTTTCTAGTTGCAGTTTTCATTTGTAATGTGCTAAGGCGTCTTTAACAAATTGGTGTGCAGGGTGACTTTTAGACTAAAGAGTGACACGAATCTTTTTGAAATCGCGAAATGCAAGACTACCGTTTCCACTATTGAGGTAATGGGCCTAATTCTTTCTTGGAAAAATTTTATGTTTTGCTGTTTAATACTTGTGTCTGAATAGCTTCGTAAGTGGGATTTGATTATATGTGTGAAACAAGAAGAAGAAGGTAAGTTCCACTCCTTATAAACTTGGTGTTGGCTTCATGAATTCTTATTCCCCACTTCTACCCATCTATTAAGGGATAAAAATCCTACATCGAATAAAAATAAAAACATAGACCAATTTATAAAGTTTTGAACGACTTGCTCTTAATAAGGTTGATATTTTAAGATGGAACCCTAAGTCTTAACATGGTATCAGAGCACATTAAGCTCTAACGAACGATTTGATTCGACTACGACTCAATAAATGAGCATACGAATTTCAAGATTGGTCTGCTCAAACGAGCTACCATCTTGTGGAGACATGTCAAGAGATAAAAATCTCACATCGAATAAAGATGGAAATATAGACTAATTTATAAAGTTTTGGACTACTCCTCTTAATAAGGTTGACCTTTTAAGATGGAACCCCAAGTTTTAACACCATCCAAAGATATTTCTACTGTCAGGTTCTTGTGGAATCAAGTTCATTTTTAGCAATTTCAAGCTTTGTTCTTTTTGAGCTATAATTATCTCTAATTTTCTCGTTTAAGCGACAATTATAGCAGATGGTACTATATTATTTTTCAGGTCAGTCCAGACGGCAAGCAGTTTTCTGTCACCTCACCTGATCGTAGAATACGTGTATTTTGGTTTAGAACTGGTAAATTGAGACGTGTTTATGATGAATCTCTCGAGGTAATAGTCATTATCTAAGCCATCCCTCTTATATGTCTGTCAGTTAAAAAATTGGTAAGATACTTATACATCTTGCAATCTTAGGTTGCCCAAGATCTTCAGAGGAGTGATGTTCCTGTATACAGGCTTGAAGCTATAGACTTTGGGCGAAGAATGGCTGTAGAAAAAGAATTTGAGAAAACAGAAAATGCACCACAGCCAAATGCAGTATTTGATGAAAGTTCTAACTTCCTCATATATGCAACCCTTCTTGGGATTAAAGTAAGACGTCATATGTCTTTCCACTACACTAGAGAGATGCACATTTTGTCACTTCGAATTTTATTTGAACTGACAGCTGTTTAATTTGCATTTGTTTTTCTCGGTGATAAATATGCAAATCCTCCATCCCTTTCTTGTGTTTTCAGGTAGTAAACCTACATACCAATAAAGTTGCGAGGATCCTGGGTAAGGTGGAGAATAATGATAGATTCTTAAAAATTGCCTTATATCAAGGTGATCAAAGCAGTAAAAAAGTGAGGAAAATTCCTGCAGCTGCAGTAAATGTCAATGAAAGCAAAGATCCTTTGGTAGATCCTACTCTTCTTTGTTGTGCTTTCAAGAAACACCGAATTTATTTATTCAGGTATTAAATTCTCGGGATGCATCTAGAAACAAGTATTGCTCATCTTCACATTTCAATCATGAACTATATTTATTATTAGAATTTTTTTTTTTGATCATCGGGTTAATGAAAACCTTGTGTACATCTATGCTTTTTTGTAAACATATGCTAGGAATAAAACTTTACTAGAAAAGTCTAATACAATTAAAACAAACTGAGCCTTAATTCCAAAAGCCCAGCATTATTAGTGCTTATAAAATCTAACAATTATTATTGTTATTTATTTATTTTGGAATTGATCCCATCCTTCAACATTCAGTCAAAAAGAAAGTCTTATGTTTTCAGTTGTTTTGGTGTGCTACGTATAGGTTGATGATTTTCTATCGTGAAATTGGTTTTCGTTTTTCATTTTTCAATAATTGGAGAAAAATGCTTATTTTGAACTTCTTTTAAGTCGGAGAGAACCTGAGGAACCAGAAGATGCAACAAAAGGCAGAGACGTGTTTAATGAAAAGCCACCTGCTGATGAACTCTTGTCTGTCTCAGATATAGGAAAAACTGTGACAACATCTCTTCCAGATAATATCGTAAGTGGTTTTCCTTTTTGTTTCCCCCTTCTATTGGTTATCCTGTAGCACAAGAAAGGCAGTCAGTGTTACTACATTTTCACCTAGAACAAAGTTTCTTAGCGACTTGGTAGGGATTTATTGTCTTTATGGTTTTTCATGATACACATATACACCGAGTCCGACAATTATTCTCTTGTTTTAGATTTTGCACACGACTATGGGTGATATTCATATGAGGCTATACCCTGAAGAGTGTCCAAAAACGGTTGAGAATTTCACAACGCACTGCCGGAATGGCTATTATGACAATTTGATCTTTCATCGGGTTATCAAGGGCTTCATGATACAGACAGGAGATCCACTGGGAGATGGCACTGGTGGACAATCTATATGGGGAAGGGAATTTGAAGATGAGTTCCACAAAAGGTGAGATTGTTTTCTGCCTGTACTGTAAGTTTATGCTTGATTTACTGCATTTTCTTGTAATAGTGCAATAAGGTTACCTATTGCTCAGTGTTCTGTGTGCATGTGAATGTTGGCTTTTAATTGGTTTATAATTGCAATAATTGGATGGCAAAATGAGGATGCTGCTAGGTGAAGATTGATGTTTTATTTATTTATTTATTTATTATTATTATTATTATTATTTTTTTTTATGGCTCTGAATTAATATTAGCTGCCATTGGATCTAGAATGGAGATGGATCTGATATGGATTTTTTATACCACAGATAATCCATCTCCAGAAATGTAGTTCATAGGAGATGCATGCAGTTAAAGTTCAAATTTCGGCACTTTTTATTTAATCAAATATGGTAGATATGTTTATGCAAAATATAAGTTGCATATAACTAATGCAACGTTTTATCATCTGATTATGTATCTTCTGTCTGCGGTAATTAATTGTTAACTGAATTGCATATCTTTGTTCTGCTGTAGAAGTGGCTGTCCACCTTCCCCTGCAATATGCAAACGTTATTAGGAAAATAATTCTTGCTTATCAGGTTGAATGTGTTTCGTAAAAAGTGATTGTCATTTTGTATGTTCTAACCGTAGCCATGCTCATTGATTGTTGGGACCAGCTTTTTAAAGTGACCTGCTAGAATGCCTCTATTTATTATTAATTCAACAGTTGTTGCTCTTTTGCAGTATCTTTAATGAAGTTTAACAAGATCACGACTAGTTATATAATTATCAGATTCAGTCTGGACATGGTCATGGAAATAGAAATGCAACTAAACATTTTTTGAATCCTAACCACTCCTTTGCTTGGTTAATTTCTTCCTTATGATGCACCGACACGGACACGTGTGTTCGACATGATACTTGTCGGATACGTCGACTCGTGATTTTTCAAAAAAGTATTGACACGACATGTCATCGACACGTTCATTAAATTCTTTAAAATTCTTCATTTATATAGTTTAAATTTAGTTTTATACTTAATATTGATTTTTTTGTTGAAATCTTTTAAATATGAGTACTTATTTATTATTTACTAATAACTTTGAGTTAAAAGTATATAAAAGCTATAGTAAGCAAGAAAAATGATTATTGTAGAGTGTTCAAAAAGTGTCGGTATTGGACACGCGTCGGATACGGACATGCTACGCTAGTTAGATTGTCTGTGCTACATATTTTCTTCCTGCTTTACTGACCTCACATAGATTGGTGTTATGTTATTAGTGGTGTTAGCTAACATTATTCATTTAAATATGATCCGCAGTTTATAATTACTCAAATTTTGATTTAAGCATTTTTTTTAATTTACTAAATAGTAAATGCCTTCTCATGTCCTTTCTGTTCACATAAACAATTTTGCTCTTTCTGCAGTTTGCGGCATGACAGACCGTTCACTGTATCCATGGCTAATGCCGGGCCAAACACCAATGGCTCTCAATTTTTCATCACAACTGTTGCCACTCCGTGGTTAGACAACAAGCACACAGTTTTTGGCAGAGTTGTAAAAGGAATGGATGTTGTGCAGGTAATATTCTGCCATGTTATCAGTTACTTACTACACTTAAGCCATTTTTTCTCTTGTTCTTTGGGTTGACTGACAGATAAAAGGATACTTATCAGATTGATAACCCTACCTGTTTCATAACAGTACAATAATGAAATTTTAGCTTCTTTTTCTTCCTTATCCCCCATTTTGCCCCCATTATTCAAATTTTACTAGTTGGATTTGTTTTATTTTTTTTTTTGAAAAATGGTTGGTTGAAAAAGAAGGAATTTTTTTTTCGATTTACGTGTAATATTGTTTTATGAAAGATTGTGTGATTGAAAATAAGAGAGAAAACTAAATTTAAATTTCATGGAGGCCAAACGGGAGCTTAACACTCTTCTATTTTATCCAATCCTATATTGGTATGAACAGAAATATTCCATTTATTAATTTGAAGTAATTGATTACTTTCTATTTTATTGAGCAAGCTGCTATCCTTTGTTTACAGGCTATAGAGAAAGTGAAGACAGATAAGGCAGATAAGCCATATCAAGATGTGAAAATCCTAAATGTAACAATTCCAAAGTAGGTGATCGTTTAAATTATTCATCCTTCCGGTGATTGCCCAAGGTTCTCACTCAGTTGTTGGGCAGATGCTTTTCTCAATTTTTTGTACCATCAGAGATTTTCAATTTTACAACTGAACTGACAAAACTTTCTTTAGCTTGTTGCTTTCCATTATCATGATCTTTATTGTCACTTTGCTGAGTGAATGGAGAAAAATACGGTGTTGGGTTTTGTTGATGAAAAAATTACGGGAAATAAGTTAGGATTATTCAATGCGTACACCATAAGGTGTACACAATAGATTACGCCCCCTCACATGGAAGGGGGCTCACGAATATTTTATTGTATGTGGACCTCTTCACATATTTTGTTGTATGTGAACCCCATCCCTGTGCACAATCCAATATGTTGTTATTATTATTTTTTTCCATCAGTGGGCTTGGTCTTAGAAGTACATTTTTCTTGGTTGCCTAGGTAGAATGTTATATTAGTTTATGATTACCGTTTTAGTTACTGTTGTATGTCATATAGCCTCTCCTGGAAGGGTGATTGCAATATCTAATGTCTTCGCTTAATGACGAAAATAATAAGAACCATTTTATATGGTTTTGAAGTTTTAACATTGTTGGGTTGTATGATTTTCGGTTCATTTCAGATTTCTTGATGTTAGATTCTGCACATCTTTACTTAATCTGTGACTTGAAACACCTAGAATCTGGAAACCATAATAAGGGTTGGCCTCCTTGTCCGTGAGAAAAGGTGAGGGTATAGCAAATAATTTTAATTTAATGCTCAAGCTAGTGTCTGCTGTTAGTTCAAGTTTTACTCGTGGTGGTGAATAATCATTTTCTATACATAGGACAATCTTTTTGACGACTGTGTGAGGTTGCACTCGTCAATTTTAATTGAATATTCATTATCTTGCTAGTTCTATTGGTCGGTGATTCAATTCATAGATATTCAGCCTTTAGAGTGGTAATTTTTCTATTGGATTGGTATGGATTTTAGTAGATTATGAGGAATAGGTCCTATAGAATATGTGGTTAGTAAGTTGATAGTAGTTATTTTATTCGCTTAAGTTATGATTTAAATTTTGCTAACCATGCACTAGATTGTGTCCGTGTAGTTCTAGGATTCCTAGTGGGCTGCATTTTTGAACGCTGTACACGCCTTCAATAGCTCGGCCATTTGGAGAACATGTCTGTTGTATGGTTACGATTATCTCGTATATTATTTATTTATTTATTTATTTTGTTTTTCGGTCCATCGAAAATCGATTCTACGATGTAGATGCTTATGACCTTCACCTTTGTGCCTTGCGATAATGATTCCTCGTCAATTGTCTTTGTAGTATGTTCAGGTTGGTCATCGAGTTGATTGGAGTCGACTCTGGGCCACCTTAGAACAATACATTCGGGGCTGATTTTTATTTTTTTATGATAATTTCCTTTTCTAGAATTTTTTTGTTCAGCCAGTAACGACCTCGTCGACCAAAAAATGTCTAACATAAATCAGCACCCTACCTTGTGAATTGCTATAATTATCTCTTAAAGAGTCATAGAATGACGGCAATTAAATAACAGGTATACGGTGTTGCATAATTCAGAAATTGAGAAACTGGGAATAACTGAACAAGTGATCATTGAAAAAAAAAATATTAATTAAAGAAACTAGGACGAGACGAAAAAATAATTTAAGAGCAACCAGAGGCACATCCGCGCATGCTAAGTTACAATGTTATCGTTAAACAGAAACTAAGGAGGATGTTCTCAATTGGGATTGCAATGGATTTTAAAAGTCGTTTTAAATTTAGATATCTTCAATTGAGATTTTAATTAAATTCATTAAAATTTATGTGTCCCCAATTGAAATTTTAATGAAATTCTTTAAAATTTAGGTATCTTCAATAATTAATTAATTTATAAATATTTCATTAGTAGAAGGATTTTAAAAGATTTTGATGAATTTCAAGCTTAAAAATACATATAAGTAAATCTCTTGAAATTTCACCGTATTTGACGAGATTTTTATGAATTTTGTAAGAATTTATTTAAATTCACCAAATTCATTTGAATTTATAATTATTTAAAATTCATTATAATTTTAGTTGAGAACACCTCTGTAAAAGAAACAATTAATTACATAAAAGAAATTAAAAAAAAAATTAATATCAAGAATTGAGCGTAGAGATTTAATGTTGGAAAAAACTGCATAAATACCCTTAAATTAGGGAACAAACTGAAACTTATAACATTAGGAAAGTTACTGTCACAATTTGAAAAAACATAAATTTGCATTCTAATCGAAGATAACAAATTTAGCTAAATCTTCTGATTCTTCAGTGACTTGAGATGTAAAAGTCTCAAAAATAGAGAATCAATTCTGATTGAATATGGCTACTCATTCTTGGTTTTTGGTAAAGTCATTCTCAATTTCAACTAGGGATGACAACAGGGCAAATGAAGGATAAAGACAACAATTACCATTCAAGGCGGACACGGAATTTTGCCATCCTAATTCAGTCCATCCCCCCACCCTCCAAAAATCACCCGTGCCCTAATTGATTAATTTGCCATGTCATAACTTGGGCCTAGATTTAATTGTGTGGACCAAACCAACAAAATTGTCAAAGGCTTAGGACCAATTGCGCTACTTTCCCTAAATTAAGGCAAGTATTCATTCCATCCAACTAAATGATATGTGAGGTAGAAAAAAATCATGAACAAAACACAATGTAAACTCAAACTTGAGAATATTATATCCCAATATCTGCAACTTGTTCACTTAAAAACAAAATCCTGGTTTCCTAGGCAAGTCTAGTACCCAAACAAAGAACAATGTGAATTTTCTAAAATTAACTTGACAATAACTTCAAAAGAATTGGTTGACTGTTTGCAGTTTTTATTCGAAGAGACTGAAGCCCATATCCTGAAACAATGAAAACAGAAGTCACAGTATTAAATTTCCCTTCAGCACATAAATTGATCCAAGAAAACAAAAAGGATGTCACGAAAAAGAATGAAGTGCAGTATTTTACATCATCTGACTCTTCTTTCTCTTCAACTTTCTCTTCCTTCTTTGTTTCAGTAGCAGCAGGGGCAGCAGCACCTCCTGCTGCAGCAGGTGCAGCTACAGCAACTGCACCACCGCTGGCAGGAACTGAAGCCAACTTCTCTCTTCCGGCTGCAATCACCTCAGTGATATCTTTGTCCTTCAATTGAGACAAGAGCAACTCAATCCTGTCATCATCGGTCTCAGCTCCAACTGAACAAAAGAACTTAAACAATTAGGGCTACTGCTAGATATTTTCGGGGACCACTGATCCCAACAAACTTGTATGCAATGAAAATTGAAAAATTAACCGATTCTGATTACACAGACCAAGAATTGACACAACAAAGCCCAAAACAACATAAATATCTAGCTTGACACTGTTAAAATTGAGTTTATTTTAACTAGCATTTTCAGATTACGTACACCAAGTAAAAGAAAAAGTCCAGAAAAAAGTAATTATTTATCCTTGAAATTGTTTCAATTGAGTAATTTATGAAACACATTTGAGCTTAGTATGTTGCAGTCAGTAGAACTTAAATACTGGAAGAATTTAGCTATTTCTAAATCTAAAACCAATAACTTGAGTGCATTGAAAATGACAACTTAACAGTTTCTTATTACACAGGACAACGATTGACAGAACAAAGTACAAAATAAAATAAATATCTAGTTTGGAGTTAATTTGAGATCCTTTCAAACACAATCATTGCTAACATTTTCAGATTACATAAATACGTCCCCAAAAAACATAATTATTTATGCATGACATTGTTGAAGTTGAGTAATTTGTGAAAAACACTTGATGAGCCTAGTAAGAAACTATAAGTAAAACATTACCAGAACGTAGATATTTATTGCCTAGAACCCCAAAAGGGCATATAAAAAAACTCCTTTTTAGGCTTTATGAGATTTAACCCCAGCAAATCATATCAATTTGATTATGATCTCCCACCCCAGATTCAAGAGAAACAAAAAAAATCTCCCATCCAAATTAGCAAAAATATTCAAACATCCACCAGAGTTAATCTATCCTCAAAAGTCTACCAATATCTTCAAAGAAATGCATCAAGTGAACTCAAATCCTTTAGGTAATGTTTATTGGAAGGAATTTTTTCTAATGCCAGCTTTAGTACTGCAAAACACAATGAGCAAATTTGATTCAGGAACCACTTAATTTAGATTCGGGTGTCATATGATGAAAATTCTTGAATCTATAAACAGATACCGGATTCGCAAGGACACTGCATGTCACAAATTGTACATAATATAAAACAAATGCAAACAGATAAGTCTATATCCTCATGCAGTCACAGATGCGTATGAGTATGTAGATATATAAACCAAATGTGTGCGTGTATATAAATTTGAACCTGAACCGAGGATGTTTTTCAGGTCATCGGCAGGAGGACAGGTGTTGCCACCCAACACGGCCAACAAGTAAGCTGCAACAACCTTCATTTCTGACCAATTCAAGAGTGTAAGAAAAACAAACAGATCAGTCCACAACAACCAAAACACAAATACTTACACGTCAAAAATACATATACACACGAATATATAGAGAGAAACCAGGCAGAGAGACGGGAGTTACTTGGAAACAGCTGCTGCTCTTAGGGTATTGTGAAGGAGACAGAGTGGCTGATCAAGCCCGAGGTGTTATTTATATCTAGGGTTTTGGTTGGGATGTATGATTTTTATTTTCGAAATTGCCATTCAGTCATGGTTGATGAAAGCGATTCATATCCTTGGGCCTAGGAAATGTTGCCCTCGATCTGATTTGGACTGGGATTTGGTTTGGGCTTTGGATATAGGTTTGACTCTAATTTCATCTTCTTTATAAGAAATTTTCATATTTAAGAGGTTCATTATAACTCATTTCAAAATTAAGAAATAAGTTTTAAAATTTTAAAAATTAGATATTATCAATTTTTATTTACGGAATAATTAATCAAAAAATATATTTTATTAATTAAACATATTAAAGTCACAATTTTATATATTCGGTCACAAATATCCAATTAATTGATTACAAGTTATTTTTCGATTATAAATAAAAAAATTTATAGATCAAAAATTATTTTACGGTCACAAATAAATTTTTTTTATAAATCACAATTCATTTATTGATCACAATTCATAAATTAGTGACTAATTATTTTAAGGTCACAAATTATCGAATTAATTGGGCACAATTTCAAATTTAGTTACAATTACATATTTTTAGGTCACAAATCAACCAATTTATTGAACAATACTCAAATAATTGATTACAAATTTTTAGTCCTACTCCACCGCCACCATCCTTGTCGCTGTCGCTGCCGCCGCCACCATCCTCATCGTCGCCAACAATCTCACTGCAAACATCATTACCACACCACACCACCACTACAACACCAACACAAAATTGCATTGCCGACGTTGCTGCAAACCATTAACACCGTTAGCGCTATCACGTACCACCAATCGCCTGTGTGCCACCAACACCATTAGTAGCACCGCTCGAGCACGACGGTGTCTATGAAAGGCGAACAACAATGCGACGACAGGGCTTGAACAAATCGCACCAACAAAGATACAGATACGGAAGTCCAAAAAAGAGAAAGAGATTGCGTCACAGGGAAAAACAGATCTCACCGCTTACAAACTTGTCACTCGTGATACGCCCATCATTGCGTGCAATGGTTGCTGATGCTAGTATAGGGTGGAGACGACTGTGGGAGAAATGAAATGGCACAAACATGAACTGGTTTTGTGGGTAGGGAGTATAGTTATTGGTGTTAAATTAGATTAATTAAATTTAATTTTAATATTAAGAAGTTTAAATTATCTGATTTTTGAATTGAGAATATAAAAAGAATGGATAGGTGTGTTGGAATATAGTAGTGTTAATGAAATCGGATTATCATATACCGTATATGTAGTTTAAATACCGATTTTGAGCATACCGTATATGCATCTTATTATATTTGCAGGTAACTTATTGTATATGCAGCTTACCGTATTTGCAGACAACTTACTGTATATGCTGCCTACCGTATTTGCACATATTTTCTTTACCATTTTCATCTATATCGTATTTACACATACCTTATTTTCACTTACACATAGAAATATTGTATATGTAATATACATATACCGAATTACATTTACCAACTGTTAGCAAATTTAGATTCTTTTTCTATTTTTATTTCTAACATAAATATAAAACAAGTAAACTGCAAAATCTATAAATAAATAAATAATCGTAAGAATAAATTACAAATATGTAAATTGTAGAAGATAAATAAAATTTCAACCCGAGGCATGTGCGAGCGTAGTCTCCTTAAAACAGATTCGTTCCCTCACCGTAAGTGCTTGAGATTTAATCCGAGTGTCTGTTTCCCAGGATACAACGGTGACAGTAGAATTCGAGCACTGCAGAAACTATTCTGGCAAACTGAGTTTGTATCGATCAATATCACCACCAAGACGACGCTGAAAATGCAACAAATTATGTATGCAGACAACATTAATTTGACTGATTTCGTGTGTATACAGTATTCTCGTGGTTAGAATTGCTGGAAAATGAGACATATATATAAGATTAAATCTGCATATTAACTCCATAGCAATAAACACTAGTGTTGTTTCAATTTCTGGGAGTTTTGGCAATTTTTCGAAAACTCAAATGTCAGTTGAAGAAAGCAAAAAAATTGCAAAACGTGGACACTCCAAACGGGCCAATTTTTGCTTCATTCGGTCCGACATTCGTATACGCAGGTCACGCCCGCAAGTTTAAGGTCCGAAGGCAATTTTGGTCCGTGATTTACACCCCCCTGTACGCGCACGTGGAGAGAGCCTTTATACTACACATGATTACACCATTCCAATGTGCACTCCTATATAAAGTTGTTAATACTTTCTTCATTTTTCTATGTGGGACTAGATTTATTTTTCACATAAACCACCTTCCAATGGTCATCTTTGAGCTCCAATTTCTCATTTATCCATTCATCAATTTTGGTAAATAAATATATGATTTCGATGCTTTCACAGAGGAGAATAAAGATCAACTTCGATCTTCCAAATTTGACTAAAGGGTCCCACACAAACTTTATGCCAAAATTATCCACTAGCCAATTTTTTCCAACAATCCCCCACATGAATGAAAATTGGGAGAGACATGAGATCGTGAGATCGAGACTAGGTGATAAAGTTCAACGGTTGAAGCCTGCATAGGATAGGTAGGTATTACCCTTTGAACATTCCCTTGTGAATTTATATTTACTTTATTCACTGACCAGTAGACATGTTGTCCTTGAACTGTTCTGTCATTTATGTAAACGATGATATACTCCACACAGGATTCTTCCTAACACAATTCAGTTCTAGCCATGATCATATGCCTGGTTTTGTGAGAATTCTTAAGAATTGAGCCCCACACAATTCTCTGCCCCATTTTTCTCTCACATAGGTGATTTCTTATTACAAGTAACCCATATTACTTTGCACGATTTTCGACGCATAAGAATCATTAAAAGCCTATTACTTATCCTTCATCGTTATAGGCATCACTGTTATATAATAGGAATGAATGGAAGGAAACACCCCCACAGTGATTTTATTAAGTTTTTACAATTAAGTTGCCCTTTGAACCTAGATCTTGGGATCTACAGTCAGCTAGGTTGGGTTTCCTTGGTAATGACTTATTCGTTCAAGGCTTAAGTCTCATTCCTTTCGATAATTTCCCAACTAACTCTCTATTTAACCCTTTGGTTAGCGGATCCACAATGTTATCTTTTGACCTTACGTAGTCAATAGTGATAACTCTAGTTAAGAGTATTTGTCTTATGGTATTATGTCTATGACATATATATCTAGACCTACTATTGTACATGTTACTCTGTGCCCTTCCTATTGTTGATTGACTGTCACAATATATGCAAATTGCTGGCACATGTTTTGACCATCTTGGAATATCCTTTAAGAAGTTGTGCAACCATTTGGCCCCTTCACCACATTTATCTAGAGTTATAAACTCATATTTCATTGTAGATCTGGCTATAACTATTTGTTTAGAAGATTTCCACGATATGGCAGCACCTCCCAATGTGAACACAAATCCACTGGTGGACTTTGAGTCTTTTATATTAGATGTCCAATTAGCATCACTGTATCCTTCAATGACCGCTGGATATCTGGTATAATGTAGTCCATAGTCACGAGTACATCTTAAATACCTTAGTAATCTTACTATTCCTTTCCAATGATCAGCTCTTGGATTACTCGTATATTTACTCAGTTTACTGACTGTGTAGGTTATGTCTGATCTTGTACAACTTATCAAGTACATTAGACTTCCAATAATTCTAGAGTATTCTACTTGGGAGATACTTTCACCTTTGTTTTTAAATAGATGTTGAGTTGTTTCTATCGGTGTTCTAGCCAAGCTAGTATCATCCTTATTGAACTATTCCAAAATTTTGTCTATATAATGTGACTGGCTTAGAACCAGCCCATTTGATGTTCTTGATATTTTGACTCCAAGTATAACATCAGCTAAGTTCATATATTTCATGTTAAATCTCGAATTCAACCCATTTTTAGTGGATTCTATCATCTTATTGTCACTGTCAACAATAAGCATGTCGTTAACATAAAAACATAAAATGATATAATCATCTTTAGTGTCTTTGAAGTAAACACATTTGTCACACTCATTGATTTTAAATCCGCTCTCTATCTTGACATTATCAATTTTTTCATGCCATTGTTTGGGTGCTTGTTTCAAGTCATATAGGGACTTCACCAACTTACGAACTTTCTTTTCCTGCCATGGCGACGAAAGACCATCAGGTTGTTCCATAAAGATTTCTTCTTCTAAATCTCCATTTAAAAATACAGTTTTAACATCCATTTGATGTACTTCAAGATTTCGCAAAGCGGCAATCACAAGTATCAACCTAATAGATGGTATTCTCGTCACTGGAGAATACATATCAAAGTAATCAATGCCTTCCCTTTGTTTTTAACATTTTATTACTAATCCGGCCTTATACTTTTCGATAATTTCACCTGCTCTCATTTTCCTTTTGAAAATCCATTTATTGCCCAGTGGTTTGCTTTCTGGAGGAAGATCCACTAACTCCTATGTATGATTTTGCAATATGGAATCTATCTTACTTTTAATGGCCTCCTTCCATTGAGGTCCTTCCGAGGAATTCATAGCCTTTTGATAACTTTGAGGTTCACTTTCTAGCATATAGGTCAGAAAATCAAGACTATACGATTTTTCTGTCCTTTCCTGTTTGCTATGTCTAACCTCGGTCTCCTCTTCTAATTCTTTGTCATGACTATTTTTAGTCATAATCTCATATGTTCATTTGGAGGAACTTACTTCCTCTTTGGACTTGTACGGAATACATGTTCAAAGAATGAAGCATTTCTTGGTTCCAATATCATTTTTTTGTGTATGTCTGGGATTTTAGAATCATACACAAAAAATCGATAAGCATTACTATTGTGTGCATAGCCAATGAAAATGCAATCTACTGTTTTTGGCCCTATCCTTACTTTCTTTAGTGTTGGAACGACCACTTTAGCAAGACACCCCCACACTCATAAGTATTTATAGGAAGACTTTCTTTCTTTCCATAACTCATAAGGGGTCTTTTCTATTTTCTGTCAGAGTACCTTATTGAAAAAGTAATTTGCTGATAACACAGCTTTCCCCCCACATGTTTTGAGA